ATGATCGACTTTCAAAATGATAAGATTTTGAATTAAATGATTAAATTTAAATGCAAAAGAAATTATGTGATACACAATTTGAACATTTGTGCAATGAGGCACGGTTCTGGGTTTTTTTTTTTTTTTGTTTTTTTTTTCGGTTTTATTGGTCGGTAAAATTGAAGTTGATTTTAATGATCGAAAATTTATTCAAGTAAATGTTGCAGTTTAAATTATTTTCTATAATATGAGGTGGACAACAAAGTATAAATTGAATTTCCTTTGATAAAATGTCCTGGCGATTCAGAAACGTGACCGTAGATTATTAAACGTTTTTAGGGCACCTCTCTGCGGGAGACCTATAGTAAATAGTGTGTCCGTCCGTCCATCTGTTCGTCCGAGGTCTCTTTTGAAGGGTGGGCAGTGACCTTGAACTATGTTTCAAGGTCTAAGGTTAAGGTCATAGCAGAACTGTATCTGAAAAATGCATGTAAACATAAATAAGTTGCATGTCGACATAAATACGTTGCATGTCAACATATTTATCTTGCATGTCAACATAACCAAGTTGCATGTCGACATAAATAAGTTGCGTGTCAACATATTTATCTCGCATGTTAACATAAATAAAATGCATGTTGACATAAATAAGTAGCACCTAGCATGTTGGATGTCACATGTGGGCGATATTTGAGATTTTTGAAGATTTTTTATAATTTTTATTTGATTGCAATTTTCTTGCATGTCAACATAGTTATGTTGCATGTTGACATAACTATCTTGCATCTCAACATATTTATCTTGTATGTCGACATATTTGATAGAAAAATAACTTGCACACATGGGGCAGAAATATGCCACCATAAGTCCGGTTTGGTCAACCCAGAGCTTATTTTTTTTAATTCCTGAAAGGGGGTTAAAATGGAAAGAAAAGCATGCAATAAAACGTCGCTTAATAGCTATTCAACGACTGCAGAAAGCTATAAACATTCCCTTGTATTGGAAGCTTACAGGGATCCATGGTCGCCAGTACAATTTTAACATTTACTGATTTTTATTAGATCTCTATCATTTTACAGGGATCCAAGTTTATAACAGATTTTAAAGCAGATTAATACCATGTATGCATTGATTACCGGAGGAATGGGATGGCAAATTACAAATGACCTTGACCTATATCCACTTAGAATATCTAGCTTTATACACTGTAATTAAGTTTAATATGGTCAAGATTGACAAGAATTAGTATAAACATTCCATAGATATCATGTCCCTCCTTTTTAAAAGAGATGATGGTCGATATTATTGTAATGGTTTGGGCCGTGGATATCGGCCTGTTTAGCTCAGTCGGTAGAGCACATGGCTTGTGATGCAGGGGTCCCAGGTTTGATTCCCGGTCCAGCCATTCATTTTGTCCTTTCCTGTTAAAATTGTTAAAATACACGACGATTGCAATTTTCTTGCATGTCAACATAGTTATGTTGCATGTTGACATAACTATCTTGCATCTCAACATATTTATCTTGTATGTCGACATATTTGATAGAAAAATAACTTGCACACAAGGGGCAGAAATATGCCACCATAAGTCCGGTTTGGTCAGAAAAGTCGGTAAATGTACAAATCTCGTGGGATTTCAGGGACAAACGTAACGTAAACAGTATGTTGAATGTCGATGAACAAATCGTAAGAAAATACAAATGAAATATTTTATTGTTGTGGACTTTATATACATCAAGAGTAGGAATGACAACGATATCAATTTATATCTATATTGTTGATCGTATGTATCTATTTATCGTATGCTACATCTAAATACAATATACATGCCTCGGAAATGTCGTATTTTTTATTAATGGATGATAATTTTAGGGTTCTCGCTCTCTTACATATGTCCTTTAGTTCTTCCATTCTTTAATTGGAATGACAAATACATTTAACATTAAAAATTGGATTGTGATTGGCATGTTTTGTATTATCCGCAACGCCATGCTGTCCCTGTCAGACGACCAAACGCGCCTCTAATTTTGAAGAGTTCACTAATGGAAATATAACGTATTAAACAATATATTTAAAAATTCATATCAGTTTTCACGATCATAAGTGAAAAGTGAAAAAAATTCACACTTGAACTCGATATCTCTGATACAAGGGATAAGTCGTAAGTGATTTGGCAGTCCAAACTAATTTGTTTAATTATGTATCTCGCAGACTCGGAAATCTTGAAGTTCCCGTTGAGTTCGAGATAACGAAGTTTGACTTTATAAATATATCTAGGAGAAATACTAGCATCAAATACTTCCATATCAGTATGCAGAGATTGGTGAAAGTCTACGAACATTTTATAATTTGACAAACTCTTAAAATTTGTGAAACTTTTTCATTCGATGAAAATTTGTAGGCAATGTTTTTTGTCTGAATCGTACGCGAGTTCAGAATAAACATAGATCTATCTATATTCATTTATCAGGAGTCTTTCACATTTTTTTTTTCTATATACATGTAGATAAAAAATAAACACGTGCATTAGGCCAAAATAAAAAATACCTTTGTTTCCCCTAACGCGACCGACCCACTTAAATCGCGCCGACTGAAAATTTTTTTAATAAGATTATTCAAATATTTTTTTTTATTGTTTATCAACTTTATAAAATACGATTTTATCAAAATTTGTTTTTATCAGAATGGCGGCTTTTGTTCTACTCTGATTTGGCGCCCACAACATGTGCTCACAAAGGGTTAGTTCGTGTTATAAAACAATGGCGACGTATCAATCTTATCATATATCTTTAACTTATTAGAATCCTACATTCTTGAAACATTTCGTGAATTGAATATATCATGACTAAAGAGTGTTTCGATGGTATTTACATGTGTCTACTAAAATTAACGTACATTTGTCCAAAATCTTGTACGTGAAAAGAAGAAAACACTTGCTGTGGTGTTCAACTCGACATTTAGATATATCGACGACATATTGTCAATTAACAATGGCTATTTTCATTCTTATGTCGATACGATATATCCTGGTGAACTTGAGATAAAAGATACCACAGAGTCTGACACATCTGTTTCATATTTGGATATTTTACTTGAAAAAGACGTTAATGGTAATCTAACAACCAAGCTTTATGATAAACGTGATGACTTTAACTTTTCAATCGTCAACTTCCCTTACTTATGCAGCAATATACCTTCATCGCCTGCATACGGGGTATATATCTCTCAGTTGATTCGATACGCAAGAGCATGCTCTACGTATGTACAATTTCTAAAACGAGGTAAATTATTGACAAATAAGTTGATGAAACAAGAATATCAGCTGTCTCGTTTAAAGTCATCATTTCGTAAGTTCTATGGTCGATACAATGACCTTGTCAGCAAATACAATTTATCATTGAGTCAAATGCTGACTGACGTTTTTGATACTAATTGTTAGGCCATTATTTACACACTGAATTGTCAGCGGATTTTTCCGTTATTTCCCGATCATGACAAGGAGCACACGGCGGGTGTGACCTGTCGGCAGGGGATGCTCACTCCTCCATGGCACCTGATCCCACCTCTGATGTTTGGAGGTCCGTGTTTGCTCTGCTCCTATTTTGTATTGTATAATGGACTTTTGAGCTTGAATACTGTTCGTTATCTCCATATATTTCATGTACGTAGTAAGCATGGCAAAGTCTGCCTCAAGAGCAGATGAGCGGCCCACCTTGTGTATACATATCAATAAACTTCACTGGATTTCATTCATTTGGATCTAATAAACAGTTCATGTATGATCCTATTTTTACTATATGGGACCATAGCAGTTGTAAATATGTCTTTGTATAATTATTTCATCTTGATAAATATAATTCAGATGTCGTTTCTTCATTCCTTTTATTTATGGGTTAAACTTCGCGACTTTTAACAATAGATATATGGCATTTTAATCATTTTTAGATATGGTTTGGTTGAATTAAATATTGTTTATACATGTACACTCTTTCCAAATAGTGTAGAAATCTTTAAAATTAGCTTATGGTACAGCCTCCTGAGAGGTCCAACGTATTTTTCTTTAGTTAGGCCCTTGAAAATAGGTTGTTTCTTTACTTTATAATCCCTTTAAAATTGTTTGTCCGACAACATTTGAATATCTACCTGGTGGAGGGCTCCAAATTTAGATTTTACTCGGCACCTATGGTCATTGATCATTAAGCATCAGTAAGGGATCTTTTTGATGCCAACATCTATACTACGGTCTCATTCGACTGACCAGTCTCCACATCCCACATCGGGACCTGTGACTTAGAATAAGCTCCTAAATTACGTCCTGACTCTAAAACAAAACACTCTATAATCACTGCGCCGAGCGAAGCCCTTGACATTTTGCCTGTGTAAGCACTTGAAGATGATAGACTGGTAGGTTTGAAAAATATACTCGGATGTCCGATGGTTGAGTATTTGCGAATCTTGTCCTTTTGTAAATATTCGATTTCAATAAATTTACACTGGCCTGAGATATTTCACAAGTTCAAATGAATAATATTTTTGAATTAATTTACCATACTTGTTGCTTTTGAATTTCATTTGTATGGTATTCAGTTTAAAAATCGGTTTCTTTCGTTTTTTCTTATTTAAAAAGATATTATTTAATTTTTCAGAATGCATTTTCATAACTGCTGTCAGAAAAAAAATAATTTACCTACCTACCGACCCAACTTTAGATTTTAGGGTCGGGTTAGGGGAAACAAAGATATTTTTAATGGCCTTAGTTTTATGCTTAAAATGCACAAAACTAGACAGTTAAAACCTGTGTCTTTATATTTCAATCTTTCAATTATTTCTGAATTCTGGTGCTTTCAGTAGTATATACAAAGGCTACTAGATTTGTTAGTGTTTATACATAATTATATATCAAGTAAATAGCAAGAAACATGGGTTTACTATGTAGCAGAGATCTTTGTCAATGTGCGATAAAAAGAGAATGTCTATAACTCACGAACCGGCCTTGTGGAATGATAAGAGACACGTACATAGCAGTCCGTTATCCAGACCAGAGTTCCTCAGTCTTAATTTTTACAGCTATGGAGTTATTCATCGTCCTTCTCGCTATTGGATTCGTCAGTGAGTATATTTGCCAATATAATACTTTCTGTCAAAATCGATGGCAGAAGGTATTTTTGTGTTTTTCGCTTTCCTATCGTATGGATAAAAAGAACGTTTAAGCATTAATACAAAGTATGGTAAGTTTTAGCTCTACTGGCCAGAAACCAGAAGAGATTATGCGATAGTAAGGTGTCCGTCGCCCGTTCGCCTGTCTGTCTGTCCGTATGTAAACTTTCTTTTCGAAATCTGATCTGACTCCCTACAGTTTTGGTCTAATATCAATATTACTTAGTACACAAGTAGACTACACTATGATACATAATTCTGAATATCGGATTTAGATTTCGATGAACGGTGTTGTCATGGTTACTAAAAATAGAAGTTTTTGTGAAATACTTTCAAAACGCTACTCCTCCTACATATTTCTCTAATTTCAATATAACTTGGCGCACATTTAGACTAAACTATGATATATAATATAATCTGATTGCAATATATCTTGCCACAAAAAGAGACTAAAATCAAGGATCATTATTCTATATTAGTATATTGCTTTACATAGTTTCAAGTGCTTACTTTTCTCATCCTTTGTTATAAGTACAAATCAGTAGAACTACACTCTCGTTAGAGACTTCTGGTTGTTAAAACTATCAATGAATTTTCACTATCTAGTTTCGTTCCTTATTTTATTATCACTTCTTCATTTAAAAGGGTATTTGGTACATGTAAGGCTCGGTTCGCATGATTTGATGCCACAGCCTTTGAATATATTGAAAGTTATTTGTAGATATAAAATATGAAATCTTGGAATAAATTAATCAGTTGTCATTTAAAAACAACATGCCGGGAAATAGTCATATCCACGGATTAAGAATTGAGCAAATGTTTAATATTTGACACTCTGAATTACATTTCGTTCAAGTTGGTAGACCGAGTATGTGTCAACGCTAGGAACATATTCAGCAGGGTCACGTGGTTCTTAATCAAAAACAAAGTAATCCCTTATAAAAGATGCAGACTATTCTTATCTGGGAGAGGAGGATATTGCCGATAGATAATGAAAACATTTGACAATTGTGTAAGGTACTCGTGTAAGAAATTTCATAAATAGAAGTCTGGAGAAATATACTTTTTAAGTACTGATGGTGAGGGCTACGTCATAGGTAGCACTGACCGGAAGTTTCGGATAAAGTATTGCCTATTGACAAAAAACTTTAATTTATCTAATGATACATGTAATAATATATCACATGCATGAAATACAAGGAGCAATTATATTAAATACGTTGAAGAACTGAATATGCTTTTTTAAATTGTTAACTCTTCATAAAAAATAACTGTTGAGTATTTCAATAGCTACTAGTATTTCAAAAACGTCAGTTGCAAGTAATAGTTCTTAGGCTGACAGCAGAGGATAAATATGAGAGAAATACTGATCGAGAAGTAATCGGGGTCTTATAGGCGTAATAACAAGTCCAACAGTTGCATTATTGACTATATTGTATATCACTATTGAAAAATATTTACAGAGGTACAAGCAGTCGTAAGTCCTCTTTGCCTTAGGCCTATATATACTTATTTAATTTTGGGCTATTAATTTATTCAAGCATTCTTGTCTTTTTTGTTTTTTTTTTCAGAACCCACCAATGAACCTCTATAAGAAACTTAAAACAATCAATAATAATGATGAGAATTGATTAAATTCTGAAAAGTTCTTATAAAACACAACCAGCTACTTCCAGTGTACCGTTCAGAAGGGATTTTTTTAGATCAATTTTTAATGCAGTTTGTGTACTGGTTCAATTTCAATAAAGTCTTATGCCTTCAGTGAAAGCTATATCATGAGATATTGTTAAACACTGCTCAGACTTCGTGTCTTATTGTAGCTATTTGGGAAATCCCTTTGCCTAATTTCCGTACTTTGAAAATGCAATTTTTTTTACTTAAAGTTTCCTTACTACAGAAGAATTTTATCTGCTTTTTCAATACTTTTATTTTTGTACCATTCCCTATTTTCTGTTGAGTACTTTCAGTAATTTGATTTCGTACGACAGGTGCCCAGCACGGTCATGGAAACGGGCATAATTACCAGCCAGACTCCCAGACTCACATAGACGCCGAGATACAGGGACTGGACGCCCACTTTGGCAGACATCAATGTCTAGACCTCCTGTTAGTGGACTGCCAACATCACACCAGTAGTGGAAACGAGATGGTGTGCGGAAGTAACGGGGTTACCTACCCTGATCAGTAAGTGATAAAGGGTAACCAAGACTTTGTGGGACCAAGATCAGAGTCTTTGGGACCCTGATCAAAAATGCAAAAGGTGAAGATAACGAACGGCAATCATTCTCATGAATCCAGTATGTGACAGAGGTGTAAAAATGGTAAAATAAGACTTTATGGGACCCAGCCGACCTTTTTAAAAACAAGAGGCCAAAGGGCCTTTTTAAAAACCGTCACCTGAGTATACACTGTAAAGGAGCCGTAAAAATTTAATAAAAGCAAAACTAAACTGATATATTGCCCAAAAGCTAGAGAAACAGGATGATCAGGGATCAATAAAATAGTCTAGTACTCAGTAACAAATCGTAAAGTAGATCTATTGTCCTCTCTTGGTCTTTGAAGAACATTTAGTGTACAGAGATAAGGTATTTTTGTCTCATTTTATTTCTCTAGGTAGAGTACAAATACCCCTACAAGATCCATAGAGCCCTGCCAAGCACCAGAAAGCTTGATCCAAAATTTCACAAATCTGTTAAACATTTCCTTGCTTATTTCAACTTTGTACTCTGTTTGCCTCCGAGATACCCAGGAGCAGAAAAGAAAATTTTCAAAGCATGAATGCATTTTCACTATATGTATAATCAATAGAGGCCCACCTTTAGACCAGCCCCTGACCCAAGGGCCATAATTTCACAAGTTTGGAAGAGGCACCCCTGCTCACCATAACTATTCATTTAGTTTATTTGCGTATTTCCCAGGAGCAGAGAAAAATTAAAGCATTTCCACTATATACTAGTAGTTAATAGACCCCTCCCCCCCCCCCCCCGCTCAACTGAATCCCTGACCCTGGGAACACAAATTTCAAGATTTTGAAAGAAGCACCCTAGCTCATCATAACCATGCAATTAGTTTGTCTACTATATACCCAGTGGCAGAGATGAAGGTCAAGATCGATCTAGTAGATGAGTTTAGCCTGTTTTTGGTGCTAAATCCATTATGAAGTCATAATGGATTTAAACTTAATTTTTCCCGTACTTTACTGCTGTAATAGAATTATGTAGAAAGTAGAGATCAATCAGATCCAAAAAACGGGGGGGGGGGGGGGAACCTGTGAGCAATATTGATGCATTTTTTTCTGAGATGGGAAAAAAACTTTTTTTTCCACATTTTATAGAAATGACAGTTTAAGATATTTTTTTTCGTTGAGTGTATCTAAAAATTAGGTCCCGAAAAACCTTATTTTACCAAGCTATATTTGTAAAGGATCAGTAATAAAAGAACTCATTTCTAAAATTTGAAAAATTTGTAGGTACCTTACATTTACTAGATCTTGACCTTAAGATTTTTAAAGAATAAATGAATTTTCACTATATTATTCATAAGAGCCCCTAGCTCATATAAATATGATTTTCACTACAATATTCATAGAGCCCATCCTAACAGAAGAACTCCTAACCTAGGGGCCATGAATTTTACAATTTTTGAAGAGTAACCCTTGCTTGATAATGACCACATGCTTATTTTGTTTACTTTTTATATAGTGTGAGAGAAGCTTTTTGAAGAATTTATACATTTTCACTTTATGTTTAATAGTTCCCCATCTTATATCCAGACTCATTGCTTATTATAACCATGCCAACATTTTGATTCCTTGGTGTTCAGGAGTAAAGAAAATATTTTGAAAATTACATTGATTTGATTTTTTGCCCCACCCCAGGGCATAGAGGTAGAGCAGGGAATAGGAAATTGATAATTTTTTGTTTTCCTCTCGCCATAAAGATGTTCTATACCAAAACTGGTTGCAATTATTCAAATGTTTACGAGTAGATGCTAAAAATGTTCAGAAGTTTACGACCGACGGTAGGACGGACGACGGCAGACGAGAACAGATAGCAATAGGTCACGTGAATTGACAATTGATTACCGCGCGTTAGCGCAGGTGACCTAAAAGTCTAGCCATAAATTTCATTGAAAGTGAAAACTTACGAAAAAGCTTAAATAAAATACTTAGAAAAATCTTAAGTGCAAAGAATTCTTTTTTGAAATTGAGTTTAGATTTATCTCCAGAAAGATAGACTGTAACTACAAAAGATATTTTGTTTTTGGTTATAATGTCAATTTGGGTGAAAGGAAAGCAGGGTACATGTATTATTTGAGTTAGCAACAACCTTTCTCAAAGGCTTCTTAGATAACCTACATTCTCAAATTGGTAGGTAACAAACTTGAGGATCTTAAAAAAATATTTACATTTGCCAATATATTTCCTTATATGACAATACAAATTAAACTGACATTCAATTATAGGATTTGACCACGTGACCAACTTCATGTCATATCCCAATGAAACTCTAAAAAATGATATCTTATTTCTTAGTTGAAAGCCATTCCACTAAGATTAGATATCTACTTGAAGGACGCGAACGTCTGAGTTCTCTGTATATTATTTGCCTTACTCTGTCTATCGTATATACTTTATAATGTGATATTTTTTTTTATCTTTCAGTTGTAAGTATGTGCACGCCGCCTGCATGTTCGAAAATCTGAGGGTTGCTCATACTGGTCCATGTTCCTCCACCACCGCCGGCGCCACCAATCCAGCTGCCACTGTAGCCACCACTGTACCTGTAGTTGGAAGTTCGGGCGCTGTCAGTCAATCCACGATGCCGCCGACAACCACACAGAGCCCGGAAGCCATCGCCTTCCAAAACATTTTCTGTAAAAATAAAGATTCCATCAACTGCCCCACCGTAGTGACGCCACTGTGTGGATCTGATGGCGTCATATACAATAGCAGGTAAAAACTTGTTAATAATGGACAGAGTTGGACTCCACTGAGTCTGAGTGGTTCTGATGGCGTCCATACAATAGCAGGTAAAAAACTTGTTAATAACGGACAGAGTGGGGCTCCACTGTGTGGATCTGATGGCGTTCATACAATAGCAGGTAAAAACTTGGGACTCCACTGAGTAGCTCTGATGGCGTCCATATAATAGCAGGTAAAAAAAATGTTTATAACCGACACCGTGGGACTCCACTGTGTCGTCTTCTGTAGCCGGTAGAATTGCACATAATACCTTATTTTAACGACACCGTGGGGAATCCATTGTGTACAGAGAAACTTGGACACCGAGGGACTACGTAAGTAGGTGGAATTATACAAAAAATATGTTTATTACATACAACGTGGGAGCACACCGTGTCGTCTTCAAAAGCAGGTGAAATTATACAGGAAAAAGTTTTGTTTTTTTTTTAATAACGGACAGCATCAAGAATTCACACTGTGTACATGCCATCTTCAATAGCAATGAAAATGTACAGAAAACCTTGTTTGTAGCCCCATAGTACAACAATAGTAGGTAAAGTTATACAGATAAATAGTTTATAATGGACACCCTATTTATTCCATTGCTTGGTTCTGATGTTGCGACGTCTTTAAAACAGGTATCGTCATAAAAAAGTTGTTTACTACGGCCAAACATCTTGGTGATTTTACTGTGTGGATCTGATGGCGTGTCTTCATTTATTTTCTAAATTTGTCACATGTCAGCGCCTCGCTGTGATAATCACGCTGTATATTTTATATTCTACAGTTGTCACGTGTCCCTGTGATAATCACAGTTCACACTGTATATCTAATTTGTATATCTTATTTGTTGTCACGTGATAGTCACATGATAATCACGTATATTTTATTTTCTACAGCTGTCACGTGATAGTCACCGTGTATATTTTCTACAGTTGTCATGTGATAGTCCCTTGATAATCACGTTGTATATTTTATTTTCTACAGTTGTCCCGTGAGAGTCACGTGATAATCACGTTGTATATTTTATTTTCTACAGCTGTCACGTGATAGTCACACTGTATATTTTCTATAGTTGTCACGTGATAGTCCCTTGATAACCACGTTATATATTTTATTTTCTACAGCTGTCACGTGATAGTCACGTGATAATCAGGTTGTATATTTTATTTTCTACAGCTGTCACGTGTCCAAGGCTCGTTGTGATAACCACTCTTTACAGACTGTAGATGGCAGTAATTGTGGACTCTCGACTCCCGTGTCTGTGGCTCCAGTTGTCGGATAGACTCAGTAAACTCACAATTTATACTCCAGAGTGGACTCAATAAAAAGATTTATACTCAAAACTTCCGGGGTTTTTTTTCCAATTAGAAATAACAACAAAATACCCTAAAGTGTCTGGTCTATGGAATAATGAACCACAAAAGGAGTGTCCAGTTACATTAGGATAACATCGTCTTATATTCCTTGTCCGTATCGTTGATCATCTATATATGATGAAAAGTAATATTTTTGTTTCCCGATCATGACAAGGAGCACACGGCGGGTGTGACCGGTCGGCAGGGGATGCTCACTCCTCCATTGCACCTGATCCCAGCTCTAAATTTTGAGGTCCGTATTTGCTCTGATCCAAATTCGCATTGTTTCATTGGACTTTCGAGATAGAATACTGTCCGTTATCTTCATATTTCATCGATAAAATGTATTGTTTCAAGCTTGTTTTAGAATAGAATAATTAAACTTCGGGACTTTGATTAAGTATATAAAAGATCATGTCCGTTTTCATCTTAAGTATAATAAACCCTTATAAGTGTACGAAAGTCATGTCACGCAAAAGAACGTCACTGAAATAATTACAAAGGCCCATGCGCCATAATACTCACGTGAGTAGCAAAATATTTCTTAATAAATAAAGCCATAAAATCAAAGTTCATGACTTCAACATTTATAATTAACAGTATATAGAGATTAATGACAATAAATTCTTATTCAGTGTAATTTTCTTTATGAAATCCATAAGTAATCTACAGCATTCAATATCCTATAAAACACACGAAACCTTGTCACTGCGCGGTAGAATACAAAGTAGGAACTATATGCATTTTCAATACTCTAGGAACTCCAAAATTTATATTGTTTCGACTCAATTTAATTAAAAACAATTTCCCTGTTAAATTATCGTAAAAATACAACAACTGTGCGTTTAAAATTAATTTGTCATTTTTATCCCTCGCAGTGTTCATTTGCATTATTTAACTTTCCTCTTCACAAATGGCTCTTACTTCTACTGAGCGCACACGTTCATTATTCATTTGTCACCACGGCCAGGTGCTGTTATAGGACCAATGACATCCAAAAATAAGAATTCAATGCTTAATTAACGACTTTGTTTAGTCTTTTCCTTCCTGCAGAAGTCAACATATATTAACTATATAAAACTTTAATATACGCATTTGTTGCTCCAATCGATTTGAAAGGTCAAGATTATAGAACAAACATTAAATGGTGAGGCTTTGATATCAACATGACAAAAGATTTTTCTTAATATGGATTTCCAATGGTATGCAAAACATTTCAGTAATACCAATTGTACCAATTGCTGTTTCTGAAAAATGTTTTCCTATATATATAAACTAGTATCTCAATATACCCCCCCCCCCGCCCCTATCTTAAGCTTAGGGCTCGATTTGAATACACCCGATTCTACAATACAGGGAAATTTTACAGAATATGAAAAAAATTGCAAGCCTGCTGCTCTCGACAGGAATTGTTTGATAAGAATTATTTAGGTCTTGCTAAGTAAAACGTTTACCGTCAATTAGTTATGATCACATCCACATGACTTAAATATCTATTATAGAACATGCTTGCATATCACATGACTAGATCATAATGGCTCGGCCACATGTTCTTGAGAGGAGGAATTTTTAATTTTTTTAAAAAACTTTATCCCAAATAAAGTGGCACCCCGTTTTGCTGCTTCTTTTCCGGAGGCCATGATTTGAACAATTTTTCATGTACACAACATCAACATGATCATACTTGAAATTTTGAAAAAAAAGATCTTGTTTTTTTTTTAATTCTAAGGATATATATTCATATATAAATTGTTGACCCCCTCCCCCACATTCTAACACCAGGGGCTTGAAAAAAGTTGAAACTTCACTAAACGACCATGTTTGCAGATCAGAATGACAACCTAAACGAAAAGATTATTTTCTATACATTCCCACATGACACTTTTCTATCAGAAAACGTACTTTGTCAAGTGAGCTCAAATGTTCTGACCTTCCTTTATCACCAAATAAATGTAGAAATATGTTTTTGGTGCAAAATAACTAAAATTCTACTAAAGTTATTGCAAAGATCAAAGAAATGCCGCGGCCATTATTATCAATTCTACTTCAATTAATGCATAATCCTTGCAAATTTGGTCCAGATAAACATTTAGTTATTTGGGAATAGCTCGACTTGCTCTATCTCAAAACTTTAACTGCAACACTGATGCCGACGTTAGAGAAAAAGCATAAGCTCATGCATCTCGATTTCGTCGACATAAGCTATAATTCTAAAGGTATTGACTGTAGTCATATAGATCTTTGGTATCCATTAATGAATCCAAAAACGAAAGTATTTTCGTATTTTATGCATGTTTATTATCAAAACAATACATGTGATTTTACAATACTGTTTCCTTAAAATTATGATAACTACAGAAAATCACAGAATAAAATCAAGATGTCATCCTAATTATGCTACAAGCAGTCCTTGTTTATCTTACAACCTGTCTAAACTTAGGTAATCTAAAGACAATTCATGATTTTATAATTAATCTTACGGCTAATATTAATCTATTTTACAACTTATCACAGGTTTATCTTACAGGCAACCCAGTTTGAGTATAATAGCTTCCTTTTTTAGAAAAAATTAAAAAAAAAAAACATCTTGACACAAAGAGATAAAATCTTACTAAGCTTGTAATAAGAAACCTCAGGAGATTACAATTTACTGTATTGCAATATATTGTTTTTATAAAAAGCTCTATGAGAGTAAGTAAAAACACTGGGCTGAATCATAATGTAGTAAAAAAATTTTATAATGGGCAGTAATTCCGAGAAATACAAGGATACAAGCCAGTTCTACAACTGCAAAATACCAAAGGCAAGCATCAACAAAACCAAGATCTGTTTTAATAAACTTACATGAGACTAAGACTTAAATCAAAATATGGCAATCTTCTATTGATCAATAAATCAAATTTGATGCAAATTTGAGGCAAATAAAAGATGTGGATGTCATTCAGACCATAACTGAAAAATTCTATTTTGCTTTTGACTAGATAAAGATTACCCTTTGAATTTCAGCATTCTGTTTTCAATTTGACTTGTTCTTAATTAAATAGGTGGTTTGCAATCTTCATGTCTATATAACTATTTAGCTATGTTACTGTTATACTTGCTTTCTTTACAATAATAATGTCATAAGTAAGTCTCCTCCTATATATAGGGCTTACGGCGGGTGCGACCAGTCAACAGGGGATGCTTACTCCTCCTAGGCACCTGATCCCTCCTCTGGAAATTCCAGGGAGTCTATGATTATGTCCTTTTGACAGATTCGTAATGTTTAAAGATTTATTTTGGGATCGATTACTGTTTGTAATCTTCATCCTTTTCATTCTTCACGAAATGAGCAAAAATAAAACTGTGGAAATAAAAAAAAATGAAATTGGAAAAAAAATTCACACACATCTGACTAAAGAACATGTATATAAGCTTTGCGATAAATTGGAAGCAAAAAAAATGTACACTGTTATCACACTTAAAGGAAGGTAAAAATTCTTTGATAAAACATTCCAAATAAATACTGAAGATGTGAGAATATTGTCAGATGTTATTTTAATGACTTGTAAAAGCAATGAGCAGCTTTAACCTGCTCAAGAGATTGTATGTGTTTGGGGGGGGGGGGGGGGAGAATCTTATATCACTTATTAAATTCATTCCCCCCATTCCACCCCCCACCCCCACCCCCCCAAAAAAACTCACTTCACGTGTCTCTACTATATGGAATGCAATTTATTTCTAGGACGGAAAAATGTAAAACATCATAAAATTATGAAAAAAAAAATAAATACTGGAATTAATCCAAACAAAATCCTGTAAAAAAAAATAATGAAAGCACAATGTCAGGTTTGCAAACACAAACATCAAAGTAGAATCAGCAACAGGTATATAGTGATGGATGGTGTGTAAAGATAAAATATATACAATATATCTATATATACCTGTATACGATGTATCTACGCATCACATCAACAGAAGATTGTAGATATAAGTACACATGGACGGAGTGTATATATAATGTATCTACATGTAACATTATAAGATAGTGGATACTTGTACAATGATTCTACAAAACAACATCAATATTAACTAAGTACTTCTACAGGCAATCAAAACTACATATACACCCCCATTAGAATGGTGTTTGGAACTACATCAATGTACAACTTAATCATTACACAGCTGTTTTAATATAACATCCATGTACATTTTATTCATTACATAACTGTTTTAATATAACATCCATGTACAACTTATTCATTACATAACTGTATTAATATAACATCAATGTACAACTTGTCTTATAATAATTACTGTATAAACATTACATAAATGTACAACTTATTGCATTAGTTACTCTACATATTTACATTATTATTAAGCAGTTATATAGAAATGCAATACACAAATGTGTGTGCCTCATTAAAATTTTAATTACTGAGAATTAATAACAACAATTGACCTTTGAACTATGACATTTAGAAATACCATTAAATTTATTTTGACATTATTTTGACATTGCAAATTCTCAGGTATCTCAAACTTTCACAGATTTCTCAAATACTCAGATGTCTCAACATATACAGAATACAGAAGAATTAGTTTCAATCTTCACATGAGGAACAAAATCTTGATTCAGTAAATTTCATTAAGACAATTAAAAAAATGCAGAGTCAAAATCTCATAAATACTGTAAATTACACCGCACATTTACATGTGCTGGCATTAAACCAAAATCAAATACACTAGATAAAAAAAAAAAATAAAAAAATTTAAAAGCACATGTATAATCTTGACAGATCAAGGTCATTTGTGACTTTTTCCACCAAAAAATGAAAACAAAGCTAGCCCTGACAGAAGTAAATACATTTGACCTTGACCTATGACCTTCTTTTAATAAAATGACTCTATAGTTTCATTCTCAAAGTCTGGCAAAAACACATTTTTTAAATACTTGACCTGAAATGCGATAATTGCATTGATTGACCTGAGATGACCTACTTTACCTCTGTATCTAACATATTAGATCTACTTTAGTATATGCATATGTACATGTGTTACAAATTCAAAAATTCCTACCTAGATAAAAACAAAATATTGCCTTGCTCCATTGCACCATCATACATATACAATTTATAATTACATGTAAATACCAAGTATTTCTTTTAATTGCAAGTAAAAAGGAGGGGGATATTATATGACAATCACACAAAGCACATATTAAAACAAAGTAAAACAATTAAATGTAAACAATACTTAGTACCTCGCTCCACTGTAAACAAAATGGTGGAAGGTGGGGTATGTTGTATTATTTAATGACAATCACACATAGCATGTAAATCAATGTTAAACAATTTTAAAAACATAGATCTCTTCCTCAGGCTTACATGTTATTCTAATGTTATTCTACTTTAAGGACATACACAACATACTTTACAAAATTGTAATCTACTGGTTATTTTCAGGATATTGTCAGTTTTAAATCATAGCACCATTAGATGTTCTTAGACAAAAAATCAGCATACATTACCAAGGGACTTTGTAAAGAAACCAAATGATGAAAACCATTCTGTTTTTCAGTAAAAGATATACAAAAATTACTAAAGAAATAGTATTAGCTGAAATTTCCTCAAAAATTTGAATAGAAGGAAATATACAGCATCATAAGAATCGAAAATTTACTGGAACTCTTAAGTTACAGAAAATAACAAAATAAAGTTCAAAACTATGTTGTTTATGTCCTTAATGCCTTCTAACTTCAGAAGAGGTGAATAACATGAATTATTGCAGGCTCTATAATCAGTCCTCAAAGGAGCAGAAACCTAGATCTAAGTTAATGTTAGTAAGATAAATAATACTGTTTATATTTATAAACATTTTGACACTTGACCTTCCTTGAGCAAAGTAAGTTTTGTAAGTTGTATATTTACCAATTCCTGTTTAGACCCAAGGGACTGCAAGTTCCTATTTATCAACATCATTTTATAAATGAAATAATGAAAGCTGCTACAAAAGAATGGAAACTATTTTCTGAGAACAAAAAAAATCTAACAGAAAGGGAAAAAACAAAACATACATGTATATGATTGAAGCACTGTCACACGATAATAAATAAAATTGAGTAATGGTCTCCATTGCAAAAAATTGTCAATACAATCCTTTACATTATAGGTCCACACTAATTAAGTTTGATTGTGATGATTGAATGAGCTGTTTAAAATGCTGGATGAATCTGCTGAGTGATTAATCTCTTAATGCAAAAATGCAATACTGTCAAACTCTTAGAAGACCAAGATCTGGAGGTATCCATGGTGACTTGTGCTGTCAATCATCTGGCCAGTGGCAGGCAGCCCACCTCTTGGAACACAGAACCAGGTGTGATGCCCCGCCCACACAAGGAAATCAGGCCATGGTGAACTCTAATGACAGAAAAACAGAATGTAAGGTTTGATTGTGTTAACGTGTTAATTTTCTTCGCCTGAAGTCATGTTTTTTGTTCCTTTCCATGGATCAAATCTGTATATATTTTCAGTATGTCTCTCATGTTTTATTCATGATTTTCAGTCAGTCGTTTCTCATTTTCATTGATGACTTTTCAGTCTGTCTTAGTTTTCTATGTTTATTATGACTTTTCAGTCTGTCTGGCTAATGTTTATTCACACACTTTTTTTCAGTGTCAAAGGTCTCTGAAATTTACTTTTCATATTCCTTTCGCAAATCAAAAATTTAGTTGATTACAAAGACCAGAAACCCAATATATCATGAATTTAAAGTATAACGGTTATACCCAAATTTCTCAAAAGGTCACTAAAATTTTCCCAATCTTTACAGCCCCTGCCCCACACCTGAAACGTGGAGTGAGAGCCCTGACTTACTTAAAGTCCAGTTCATATTTATCCACCAGTTCACTATCCAGGTTCCACTTTGTGCGAAGATGTCTCTCCTCGCGTGCCTTGGCCTTTTCTTCCTTTTTAATTTGTTTCTTTTTACGCTTCATGCGATCCATGTCAGCGAAGGTCATGCGATACTGAGGGCCGACAAGATTACGATCCTGATGGGCGGAGTTTACAATGACGTTGTTGTTATTTATGTATTGTTTCTGCTCAGAACTCCTGTTGCTACCTGCAGAGCTCTGTAATATAAAATAAAAATAACATCAAAACTTTCATAAACTTAAGGTGTCTCAACCCTTCAAAAGCTTCATTAATTTAAGGTGTCTTCATCTACCCCTCCACCCCCCCAAAAAAAAACATCATTTTTTACTTTAAGTTGCCTCCACCCTTTATGAATTCCTTATACAATCAAATACTACAGTTTCATCAGGCTCTGTTTAACACAATATTTTTGTTTCTTGTTTTGGTTGAACCTTATCCTGAAATAAGACGATGGATGAACTATAAATTTTACAATTCCAGTAGACCATGAGATTGCTATCCATGCACAAATTCACATAACAAAATTAAATTTTTTTTTTGCCAAAACCATTCATAGATCTGGGGAGGGGGGGGGGGGGGGGGGGGGGGGGGAGTAAAAAATTTCTGGGTTGGATATGTTTCAGAAGGAAGTTAATGTGGTTTTTTAAAAATTTATTTATTTTACTTGTTTTTTAAGATTGGAAACTTTTTAACTCAGGTGGACCCCCCCCCCCCCTTGAAAAAAAATTCTGTGACACAGCTCTTGTTACATGTAAGTTATGACCAACATAAACTGGTTGTATTGTAAACCTTTACCCCTTCAGACTAGTTAAGCTATGACCGACATAAACTGGTCGTTTTCACGTAAACCTTCGCCCCCAGACTAACCTTCCTACTGCCACTGTTACTGGAGCCCTTCAAATCCCCGTCCTCGTATTCATCTGAATCTACGTCACTCATGTCATCTAATGGACTCCTCATCTCATTGTCATTGTCTTTATCATCATCGCTGTCATCAATTTCCAGGATCTGACTTCCCTTCGACGCCTGGCGTTCCAGCTTTGACATTCTGTACTGGATTTCGTGAAATTTACGGTCTGTGTGTTTCCATCCGGTGGGCAGTCGGGGGCGAAATTTTACTTCCTTGACACGGATCACCTCCACAAATGGAAAATCAAACTGAAAGAAGATAAAAATTACTCTTTGCTTCAAGAATTCATATTATATTAAAAAAGTTCTCATAGAAAAAATATTACAAACGAAAATAATACAGTGGCTATCAGGATAATTTAACAAACAATACAACACATTCTTTGATTAAGATGCAACAAGGAAGTCAAGGTTTGATTCCTGTTCTTGGTACCGCATCAAACCCAAGAAGTTTAACAAAGTTTGTGACTGTCCTGACAAAAATAGGTCCTATGACAGGCTTTGACACAATAAAGAACCTTAACTAATACAACCGTAAATGCCATGAGGAGGTACCCAGCATAAGTAGGGTCACATCTTTCATAAACCCTTAACAAATGTTCATCCTATCGTAGGCTTTGACGTAATAAAGAACCTTTACCAATACAACTGTAAATGCCATGAAAAGGCACAAATCTGTGGCACTTCTAAAGCTGTTGATTGCTCTAGGAGAGTGAAAAATTTTGAATGGGATGTGCAACAAATACTGTACAACCAATCAATATTTGATAAGATACTGACATACCCGTTTTTTTGAGATGCTGTTGACATACCTGGTTTTTTGAGTGGCCGTGATAGATGCTGACATACCTGGTTTTTTGAGTTGCCATGACGTTTAAGAAAACGTATGAAGTCCTTCCTGTTGATGTGCTTGACAAGTACTAGTTCCATACAGCCGTCATTCAGATGTGAGAATTTACTGAGTCCCTCGGGCGCCACCTCACTCCTGGCAGGGATACAGAACAGAGCCAACTGTAGGAAGGAGCCCTTAGACACCTTCCAGGGACTCTCATCCTTAGAGAGATCTACAACGAAAGAAAATAAATCAACATTTATGTCTCTCCTGGGACATTTCCTTATAGACCCTTAAACAAAATGTAATACATATATGGCAAATAATCAGTACATACTCAGGTCTGTCATTTTATTTCTAAGAAACTCAGAATACATGTAGCTATATGTAAATAGCCCTCATATATATTATGGATCTCAAAATAAGTTTTTTAGCAACGATAAATATCCCTGTTATTGATTGGGTATAAACTTACCTTTACAAATGTGTCTTTGACATTCATTGGATAATGTGTTGCTGTTCCTGATTGGGTAACTTACTTACAAATGTGTCATTGACGTTGATCAGGTAATGTGTTGCTGTTCCTGATTGGGTAACTTACAAAATTTAATGTGTCTTTGACACTGATCGGGTAATGTGTTGCTGTTCCTGATTGGGTAACTTACAAATGTGTCGTTGACATTGATTGGGTAATATGTTGCTGTTCCTGATTGGGTAACTTACAAATGTGTCGTTGACACTGATTGGGTAATATGTTGCTGTTCCTGATTGGGTAACTTACTTACAAATGTGTTGACATTGATTGGGTAATGTGTCGCTGTTCCTGATTGGGTAACAGTGTCATTGACATTGACTGGGTACAGTCCCTGAAACGTTCTACTTTCCCATTTTTCCGTTCGCTCACCGTTCGTTCACCGTTCGTTCAGCGTGCGTTCACCGTTCGCTCTCCGTTCACAGTCTTGCGTTCTGCGTTCACCGTGCGCTCGCGTTCACCGTTCACAAAGCGTTTACCGTTCGCTCTCCGTTCGTTCACTTTGCGTTCACCTTGCCTTCAGCGTTCACTTATCGTTCAGTCTTCAGTGTCATTCGGAACTCCGAAGTGAAAGGACTTATCTTTTTTTGAAGTAAGGATTTACGGGATTTCAAATTTAATAATTCACATATCGTTTTTAAAGGATCAGTATTTTATTGGAATAAATTATCTACAATATGCTTTATTATTATTATTATTCTAACTTAGCTGTTAGGTTATTATTTAAATTACTCTGGAAAATAAATGTTGTTATAAGTATGTACCTATGTAGAACGATGCTGAAAAATTTAAATACGGGCAATATAGGGGTACTTCAAGCACTGAAACATTTTACTGTTATGTTAAATACGACATGTCGTTAATGGAGAGATAATAATCCATGTCATTTAATTTAGCAACTGCAGGAAAATTAGAAATTATTTATTACGAACACGTTTTTTTTTCTATTATTATAGAAATACATTATTAGAACTAGTTCTGAGAATTATAAATAGTACTGCGGATATCCAGTTAATTAAATATCTTTGGAACGAATTAAATTAATAGTGTGGTTAAAAAAAATATTTATTTAATGTAATATTCTACAATTCATATATAAATTCTACTGTTAGAGAGAAAAAATTCCTTTCTTCACAATAACTTTATATGTTTGCCATTCAATATGATTAAGACCCCCCCCCCCCTTTTCCACGTAGATCGGTCACTTAGTCAGTATTTCCAGTATATTTTAAATTAATATTTAAAAAGAAGTTAACGCGTTTTGTAGCACAAAAATTTCAGTCTCAGAACAAACATGCTTCTAAAAAAGTCATTAAACAATAGTAGTTCAAAATATACACGCGCTGACGGTGGTATTTTAAATTCGCCAGGGAGTATGTTTCAAATTCGTTCGAAGTGTTTATGCCAAATGTATTTTATTTATTTATTTATTGGAAAAATTGGAATCAGATCTAGAAATGATAAAACATGTAAAACTTCTTGGAAATACTACAGTGTAGCATCTCGCCTTTGGTGTGACGAAACTTTCACACCTGGCTGCACAGTGTCGAATGATTTTGATTGACAGGACAAGCACGTGGACTTCGTGTGAACTTGAAGCAGGAAAATAAAAACTGATTATGACTGTCAAACAAAGTGAATTTGTTGATAAATAAAAAAAATAGGTTACTTTCACTGCCTGAGATATTTAGATAAAAATTAAGAGTTTTCGTTTATACAGGTACATGTACATGCATTTGTGAAAAGGGGGGCTAATACATAATCTCTCTCTCTCTCTCTCTCTCTCTCTCATTTGTCCGTTTAATCAAAACTATAACACGTATTACTTAAATACCAAGTTCTGAAATTTTAATCTATAACAAATAATATGAATGCTTCTTTGTATCACCTTGTCCGAGTATAATCACGGGGAATTGTTTATAGATACATGTAGAAGTCTGCTGAATAAATCATCATTAAAAAAAATGAAAAGACACATCAATATATTATTGCATTAATTTTTTCTAAATATACGTCCACAGACTAGCAAAATATTTTTTTTTTTTATTTTTTTTTCTCATTATTTCATTAATGCCTTGACAGGGAAATACATGTATGGTTGTTACAACCGTTGTAATTCGTTCTATAAGTCAGTAATGTACTCTTCGAAAATCATTATTTGTAATGGTTTTATATATCAAATGAGAATAAACATATTTATTTTACAACTAGAATGATTTTATTTTTTAAACTACAGCGTTCGGTAACAATGACAATGTTTTACAGCGATAAAAATCGTGTGATTAAACGGCGGAATTTAAACATCATACATATGTGCAGAAAATATTGTAAGAAACTTAATAGTTTTACTAAATGTGCATCTTTCATCTTTCTCAGGACAATTTTTGAATATTTATTTATTTTCAGCCTGACATTAGAATACAATAGAATAGATACAATGCATGGAAAAGATCAGAGGAATTCCGAATAAATCGTTCATCTTGCGTTCACCGTTCGTTCACCGTTCACTTTGCGCTCGCGTTCGCGCTCCGTTCGCGTTCTGCGTTCGCTCACCGTTCAGCGTTCACCTACCGTTCACCAAGTTGCGTTCAGCGTTCACACATCGTTCACTCACCGTTCGCTCACTGTTCGCTCTGCGTTCGTTCAGCGTTCGCTCACCGTTCAAGTGGGAAAGTAGAACGTTTCAGGGACTGTAATGTGTTGCTGTTTTTGACTTACCTACAAAAGTGTCACTATTATTGGAGGTATTGAGATCATTAAAGGGCTGCACCAAACATTCCTCTACTTCTTCTTCTTCTTTTATATCTTCTGTCCAACAAACAGTACATCTACAAAACACAGACAGTACATCTACAAAACACAGACATATGGATACAACTACAAAACATAGACAAATGGATTCCTCTTACACTCAACCAGTGAAACACCTACAATACACAAACTAGGGCACCGCAAAGTGGAGCATCCCCTTGCAAACAGCATATCTATAAATCAAGGTAGCATTTGACATAGACCCCAATGCAAATTACACCACTTCCATTTTGCACAAAGAACAGACTAACACACAAGCGCGTTAATATATCCCCTTCAACTCAATTGCGAGGGGATAACAAGTAAGTGGATTCATTGTATGTCAATTAAAATTAGCCCAATTACCTTTTGTTCAGCAACACTGAACTTGATATACAATTTCATATTTCTGTGTCTATCTACAATTTAAACAGTATCTACAGCCTGCAGACTACATGAATGATATAAAGAGGGCATTCAATGTTTTGCAGTTGGATATGGAATTTATTTCATGAGTGAGCCAGGGTTTTTTTTTAATTTTTATTTTTCATGAGTGTGAAGGGTGAGTAAAAATATGAAAAAAAAAATCTTGTGTCAGAAGTGAAATAAATTGCATATTCAACAACAAAACACTGAATATTCTATTTATTACAATCTCTTTGATTTTCCCTTTTTGTCTGCCTCTTCCTAACACAGTGTCATAGGCTGTGACATCATAGTTGCACGGTTGAGACTTCATAGCATAGCTAAGGGAATTTGATATTGAAAACATGGTAAACATGGCTTTCAACAGCAGAATCTTTGGCAGTTTTAGTCTTTGTCATGATGGGTTTTTTTTACTTTCCCTATCTTATAACACACCAGGGATTATTCTTACAACAATCTTCATGCCACACATCTGATATTCTCTCACACTGTGATAGAATATCACTTTTATTCAATGGCTAATTACACTATTTCACCACTGAAAATGTAATAAACTTTACTTTGTACTCTGAGCTTTTTGCTTTACTGTATTACATATGTATATGTTTATGTATTCAATTTGGCCCTTTTAGAGTATTCAAAATAGCTTCTGCTCAATCATGCATGTACCTTTGCTTAATTTCATCTATATATACATATTAAATACAAATATACTACTCATATATATTAGCATAAAATAAAGTAGATTTATATCTAGCACATTAATAAATGCAATAAATGAAATCTACACGAAGTTGAAAAATAATTTTCCTATTAAGATATATAATTGTATACGGGTTAGAGCAGTGTCTGAAGTAACATTGTATCCAACCGCCCGAAACGCACAAATTTTGCTGGCGGACAAATTTGCATGTATTGACAGCCAGCTGGACGTGTTAAAATTTTCAATAATTAAAATTCATATATTTGATAAATCTCTTCCATATCAACAGTATCAGTAGCAGAGTGTAAGAAGCCGAGAGGAAAAATTCATTAGTCTACAGATTTGGGATCAAAATTATGGTGACCTGGTTCCTCTAGTCACATAATAGTTAAAAACAAATTTATGAAAGATAATTATTTTCTCGGGCTAGTATATCTTTCGCAGGGCTGACAACTCTTGCTAGCAGTCAGCCCTGCATGTCTAATTTCACGGTGAGTTTCAAACACTGGTTAGAATTAAATGTGACGTGACATCACTTACCCCCGAAAACACACAGTATGGTCTCCTTCCTTGGGTTTGTCTTCTGCAGGAATGTATTCAACATCACAGTCGTACGGTCTAGTAATCATAAAATAAAAAATTAATTAAAACCCCACACAACAGTCAAAGCTTGTTATCTCGAACTTGATGAACAAAGAAAAAAACTTTGAGATATCAAAAGATTCGAATTATCAAACATAAAATACTTAAATTACAAGTAGTTGGGACTTGAAAATTACTTCTACATATCCATGGTATTTGAGATAATAGCTCTAAAAAATTACATATAAAAAAACCTTTTGATGCTTAAAATATGAACAAATGTTCCCCATGTTTCATAAAAAACCCAAATATCCCAAGAGCAACATCTATATCCTTGGGGATTACTTACATTAGTTTCTTCTTAGAAGAGGCTTTATAAATAGCAGCATCTATACTGTTGGGGATTACTTACATAAGTTTCTTCTTAGAAGAGGCTTTATAAATAGCAGCATCTATATCCTTGGGGATTACTTACATTAGTTTCTTCTTAGAAGAGGCTTTATAAATAGCAGCATCTATATCCTTGGGGATTACTTACATTAGTTTCTTCTTAGAAGAGGCTTTATAAATAGAAGCATCTATATCCTTGGGGATTACTTACATTAGTTTCTTCTTAGAAGAGGCTTTATAAATAGCAGCATCTATATCCTTGGGGATTACTTACAAAAGTTCCTTCTTAGAAGAGGCTTTATAAATAGCAACATCTGTACCCTTGGGGATTACTTACATTAGTTTCTTCTTAGAAGAGGCTTTATAAATAGCAGCATCTACACTCTTAGGAAGGAGATTATGGCGGAAGTTATTGGCATATCTGAGGGCATTTGCACCAAACCCATATTGGCAAGCGAAATTCCATTGAACAAGTTTATCATCACTGAACACAGAACAAACATCTACTGGCACACTGTAGCCTGTAAAATACAAAGACATTCCTCACAGTGATTGGGTGAATTGATGTAAGAAAACACATTACTGGCTGAATTTATGATACACAGCCTCTGATTGGATGAATTAATAAAAGAGAAAATGTGATTGGCTGAAAGAAAATGTATGATGTACAGTTGAACTTCTGTATCTCAAACATTGATATCTCGAATACCATGAATATGTCAAATTGAGTTGGAAATCCCAACCATTCATTTTTTATGTTTTTTACCCTTGATATCCAAAAACCTCCGATATCTAAAAGGTTTTTCCTCTGTTCAATCAAGTTTGAGATAAAAAGGTTTGACTGTACAATCTCTGATTGGATGAACTGATGAAAGAGAACATGGCTATTGATTTGTACTAAACAGGATTTTTAGATTTTAGATAAAAAATCTATTTGTGCATTATTTAGTTATGTAATGCAAGGAACAACTGAAGGCGGTTAGATAAAAACTCATTAACTCACCCAATAGGATATAAAGAACAGCAGTGATGGGATCTGCCAAACCCATGACAGATCGAGCAATGTGATTGGTGGTTCCTAGGAAACAAAGATTACCAATTATTTTGCTATAAGTATTTCTTTATAACATGAAAATTAATTTAATTTATCTATTAGACAGTTTGACTTTAAAACTTCAGCTTTTTAAATTTAATCTAAATGGGGAAAAATTTAATTCTTCCACAGCATGAGCAAGAAATTATTTCAGTTATAATCATGTTTATTAATGGCTATTATCCAACAATTGGATGCTATTTTACATATTTGACAGACAGTTCAACAGTGGCATCAATCTTTTTTAAATCTAATGTTTTCACATTAGTTTTATATTTCCGAAACAAAACTTAAATAATATTTGACTCATTGACAAAATCTCTTATTCCTTATCACAGCAAGGAAGAATTACACACAAAAAATCATATATTCTTAATGCAAGCAATTAATATTTTAATAGTTAAATAACTAAATTTTATTATTTCACTGCAATATACATTTAAGTTTAAATTTCATTTGGAATGCTATATGTTACCGGTGGGAATAATTCCGACAGGCATAGCTGGTCGAGAGGGCGTAAAACCCTGCCGTATTTCTACATCGTTCCTGGTCTGTGTGGCTGTTAGTAACCCTGACACGACCTTAGAGGCCGTCCCATCGCCACCCATCGCTACCACACTACAAAATAAAAAGAAAAGAATTAAATCAGCAGTTATGGGTACTGTATTTTCTGTTTATTAAGTTTATATCTATGGTTTTCACACCTTTTAACAAATATTTAGAACAGTGCATATGAAGGGAGTTTTTTGTTGATATAAATGTAGGTATTTTCTGACCAAAATAAAATAAATAGTACTTAAGGAACTTATATATCTGACTTAGATAAAAATAACAACCAATACTTTGTCCCCTTTTGTCTGTAAGACCACATTCTTCTGAAAATCTTTTAGGCCAAACTTAAAAAATTCTCTGTTTGCAGTTGCTGACCTATAATTTTTAAAGTGGGTGAGTAGGTAGGTTTGTTTGTTTGTTTTTTTGTTTTGTTTTTTTGAAAATAAAAAGATTGTAGTTTTCAGATTTTTTTGTCACATAACAAAAATAGGCTTACTAAACATAAATAAGCTCCACTTGTTATAAGCCACTGATTGATTTAAGATCAAAAATCAAAAATAGAAAAATGAAAAAGTTTCAATATCCTGAAAGCTTGAAACTTAAAAAAAGCTTAAGCTTAAGCCTTAGAATATACCAGTGTTACTTTTTTGCCTAGAGTTTGATGTAGATTTGATCAAATATCAGATTATTTTTAAAATTATTAGATTTTATTTTTGTAAAGGGTGGGTTAATTTTCAGCTGGACTCTCGTGGTTTTTATATAAAAAAAAAATGTTATATATAACAACAGCTTTTTATAATAAACTGGACAAAAGAAAAGAATTCTTTTACAAATTTTATTGTTGCTGAATTATATGTTTTGATTTGTTCAGATGTTTAGCTAAAAAAAATACTTATAGTTACAATGAATGTATCAAGCATTCAAAATTATACTTGTAAATTAAAATATATGCCAAACCAGAGTCATAAATCCCTTTTTTTCTATTTTAAATTTTGCACGAAAAAATATTCACAAAACATACTTCCTTAAAACCTTTCATTTAGTCAGTCACAGAGTTCATTAGCTTATTTACCTAAGTTTACAGTTTTCATAAATAAGACAATGAAGTTTTTTTTAATTGATTAATTTTAAAAAGAAATCATTTGTCATCCACTTCTTGATTAACAAACATTTTTTTAGTATTTTTTTTTTAATATTATAGACTTCGCTTTCCTTTACACATTGTGTAATCAGGTGAAAAAACAGCAAGGCAAAAGTTGCTCAGGTGAGCATTGTGGCCCATGGGCCTCTTGTTTAATATTACGCTTTTGTTTTCCTTCACACATTGTGGCCTGTAATCTAACTTAAGTGTTTGGTTACCCCATGTTGTTAATTATTCATACAAGGCTGAATGTGGCTGGATATAACTGGGTATATTGATTGTAGCGTACTTCAATATCGCAGCCCGAAATTAAGTGACAATTAACGCTGATTACAGCTAATCAATGCCCGACAATTTCAGATTAATTTACAGAGTGTATCACACTCAGATGAACAATGCTTGGAAAAGACAGAAAGCTTTTCATTTTCCTGCCCCCCCCCCCCCCCCCCCCCCCCACCTCCCAATTCAAAGTTAAGTCATTTATGCATCGAATAAGGACCACTCGGGCAATTGCCAATTATCAACTCTCCAAAGGTGCACACACAGTTCTTGACCTGCTGGAGACCCCAGGGATACCCAGACCCCTTGTCAACCAAAAGCCCCCCCCCCCCCCCCCCCCGGGTTCAAACACAAAATCCTGAATCTGCAATGTCTGCTAAGCACCTCACTTTGGACAATAGAATAGAATAATATTTAGAATAGAATATTTATTCAACCAATTTGGGCCCACAGTGGAGCATAAAGATGAACAATGTCTGAAATCATAGTCATAAATAACAATAAACAGAACAAAACAAACATATATTATATACAAATGTATATTGAACAGAGAGTTAGCTGTCAACTTTAAGGATGCATAAAATGTATACAAATAGAATATGTATAATGACCGTAATATGCCTATATCGTACTATGTTGTTTTCTCATATTAAAATTTGCTTTTAAATGTTGGCATAATAAAACAACAAACTCAGAATCTTCATTTGACATAATCCATGTAAACAGGTCCACATTATTAAGCAGTATTAAATTTGGAAAAGTTTTAAAGATTTTATTTAAAAACTCTCCTCTGGAATCATTATACAATGGACATTCTAGTAAAATAAGTATTTCATCCTCAGACCTCAGTTGGACTTGAAGTACAGTTACACCTGGGAAAAATTTCATTTTACCAAATTTATTAAGTTTCCTTTCATATCTACCCGGACAATCAATATGAAACATATCACTGACTTGTAATGGGAAAGGAGGGACTATATTAAAACTAATGAGTGACTTACCAGTCATAATCATCAATATTGGTATGGATCATTTCTTGTTTCACATGCTCTGAATGTTGTATTTCTAAAAAAAAATTATAATCAGTTAAATTTTACAATGTATTAGCTGTACACCTCTCAGTGGCTAGCATTGTCATAACTAAGTTAGAGTACAGGGACTACTGTATGTGCACTTAAAAAAGCGGGCTTTAATTATATTTTAGCAGCTTTGGCGCAGACAACTATGTGCCAATTCATGAATATCACTAAGAAATCATTTTATAAATACAATATATAGCACGGACATGTACAGCGCTAAATTCATGATTTCGCCAACAACTCCATACCCAGTGATTGCGCTATTTTGAATACGCCAATTTATGTACATGTACAGTACTTTCTTTTGTAGAAAAATACTAAATTGGTAGTAGCAGAGAAAAAATACACTAAAACTATGAGGATCAATGTCTCAAACATCAGCCAATCAGCATTACCAGGGAGCATTGGAAGCATGGAAATCAGTATAGCCATACCTGATCAATGCTGCTACTGAGGTATCATTTGATATTATCAGAAATGGATGGTTAGGTATTTTGTTTTCAATAAGAACATTTAAAAATTTTACAGTTCTGATCAGAAATAAAAGCTCTAATTAAAATAATGTTGAATTTCAATATACCTTTTCAGGGTTGTCCCTAAGACCAGGGGGCAGGGGAATTTCCCTGCCTATTATGGAGTAATCCCCCAGTTATTCTGGTATTCCCCCATAACCCCATCTTAGGGGAGGAACCCCAGACCCCCTTCTATTTTTTTAATGTCCCCTGCCATTTCAATTCTTAGGGACAACCCTGCATTTTTTTCCACCATCATTACTATTGTGCTACCTCTGGTAAATGTGTGTGTCATACACGATTTACATTTTTTGTACAAATATAGATACATAGAGGACATACCAAGAAAATCTACGCTGAGATTAGCGGCTTTGAGCATCGGTAAAATCCGACTTCTGTAGAGCTGACTTCCTGTCCGAGCCCCTGCGTGGGTCTGCATAAAAAACTTCAAGGAATGAGGCCTTCCTGGAAAATCTGTAAACAAACGTACATTCATGTCAGATTCAATTAACTGAAATAGTGACTTAAATTCAACTACAGTATAGTCAAACCTTGTTATCTCGAACTTGTACCAGTGGAACCAAGAAAAAAACTTCCGAGATATTCCAGGACTTGGGATATCAGGGGTAATTAAAATACTTAAAGAATAAGTGGGTTGGGACTTCCAAATCACTTTGACATATCCACGGTATTTGAGATATCAGTGTTTGAGATATCGAAGTTCAACTGTATACATAATCAAAACCTCAGCTATCAGTAAAATTACCATACACCTCTACTAATACTAACCTTTAATAAATGAATAGATGCCATCATAATACTTGTTACACAGCGACTCACTGGGATGCTCAAAATCTATAACAAGATCCTTCCAGCAGTTTGGTCCGAACTGATAATAGGTGTAAACGGTGAATCCCTGACAAAGCCCCTCGCCCTCTACCTGACCCTTGGCCCTCTTCCGTTTGATCTGGACCCCGTATATGTCCTTGAGAGGGAGGTCGACCGTTCCCTTGGAGATTGTGGCTGTCCCGGGAAGTGGTATCTTACTCTTCTTTACTGAAGGTAAAAAAAGTGTCACAATGAGAAATCACACATGATAATTCAGTGATCAAAAATTTTACAAAAAGAAAATCATTGCAATATTATATATGTTTTATCAGATTCAAAAATGTATTTGTCAGCCCTTGCCAATTTTAGAGTAAAACATTGTGATACGATTATCACATTGAGAAACAGTAATCATGGTAATGGCAAAAAACAACTTTATGACTGACTTTATAAAGTTCAGCTCCCCCTTACCTGTATGGACCAGGGACCTATATACTAACGGGATAGGCAACTCCCGCAAGTCTCGCGATATCTCGTAAGTTGCGGGATTTCATAAGTCAATTTTAATTAAATATATCTCTTTTTCTATCAAATATTTCAGAATAAAATCTTAATTTATCTATCAAAAATTTATTCCAGATTCGTTATTAGCACTGTTTTTACTCCTTATCTTAGTAGTAATTACGTTTATTTAAAAATCAATGCGTGCCCCTGATCGGCCGTATTTCCGAGAAATCGCCGATTTCGGTGGTTGTTTACTTAATATCTGAATTGTTTTATGATATGTGCTTTAAAATTTATTAAATATCCATTCCGATACACAAAAAAAACACATTACCTTAATCAGAAAACAAGCTTTTTACTGGGAAAAAACGTAGTTTGAAAAACTTGCAGTGTTGTGCGTGCCGTTTTGGGTAAATAAACATGGCGCTGAAGGAGTTGCCTATCCCGTTAGTATATAGGTCTCTGTTTGGACTAATAGAGTCCAAATTTTTCACCTCCCTCAACATGCTCAAACATTATACAGTCTAGTTCCCCCCAATACCCTCACTCCTTATTGTAGCCCCCCCCCTTTTTTTTTTTTTTTTTTACATATCCAGGACTGTATAGATAGTTTTCAGTAGGTCCAAATTAGCAAGAGTTATTTCCCGTTGGCCGCCATATTGGAGGTCAACATGCTTATATTCATTCATTATTCAACCAACTTTAACTTTTTATACTGGCCATTGTGGGGCAGGAAGCATTGTTTTTCTGAAAAATACACATTTGTTAAAACCTCCTTTATTTCATAATTTTTATTCTATAAAGTTTTCCCCCACAACTTTAAAGTAACTTAAGGCTAGCTTCTTTCTCTCCTCCTCCTTTAAATCTATAAATTGATTGTTATCCAGCTTCCCCTTTACTTCAATCCCCCCTCCTACCCCTCCATCTCTTCGGAATAACTCTCTGTCTTTACAATTGTTCACATTAAGAAGTTCTCCACTTGTTTGTTTACCTTTAGGACTGACTGTGGTCCAGCTGATCATTCCACGAGCCAGGGACAGAGTGACATCAAACCCGTCCCCCTTAATAACGAAAGGGTTGATCAAATCCTCACTGTCAGAGAACGCATCTTCATAACATTCATTTAAACGACGCACTGGGTTCCCGTCGTCATCGTACGTATAATCCACCATCTTTCGAGTGAAAAATAATGAAGTATTGACCGAGGGGTAATGACCGAAAAGTTTTCTATTTCAGCATGCAAAGTTTGTTTTCTGGCGGATACAGGAGATCTGAACTGTTCGGTATTTTTGTTGCAGGTTAGTGCATTCCGTTCTTTGAACTTGGATCAATTTAATCCCTTTAGATTCTATTTTAAAAGGGATCTGTAATACTGAGACTTTGCGGCCTAAAATTCTGTAAACACAGGAAGTCAGGTGCCCGATTACCGGAGATATGAATTTAGATTGTTCTGATTGGCTGAAAATGGGTAACAGCAAGGTCGTCATGGGAGTAACATAAACATTTCAATTTCTAGTTACTCAGTCGTGAAATATGAAACAAAGAGGCGTAATTAACCAGACTTGTAAACAACAGCATCAAATCTAAGTTAATCAAGTTAATTAATCAAGTTGATAAGAACTTATAGTACCGAGGAGTGACATATTCTGTATGTCAAAAACAATTTGTATAATTTACAATTATAAGTATTATACCACTATTTATAGACTTCTAAGAAAACTATAAAATCAAGAAAATTAAAAAGTTCATGTGAAAAAAATAAAAAGAGAAAGAGCGGGTGATTGAATATTTGCCAGTTGGGCATGTGGTATATATAAGCACAACTGGAAAAAATATATATGCACTTATTTTTTTTGTTTTTTTTTTTAAATGAAGGCATTTATATAATTTATTAAAAAAGTTTTTTTTTTGAAAGTTTGATTATTTCAATAAGACATATAAATAGTAACGCACACTTAAAAGAAAGAATACACTTGTATCTCATAATCAAACAGATAAAGCTTATCTTGTTTATCACTTTTAAGTACTTTTACTTTATAAATGTGTAGATAGTTGGTTTTTTTTTTAAGTTTGGGAAGGGGGTATTATAGAGTTAGTTTTAGTAAATTACACGTAACAAGAGGCCCAGGGGCCACATCGCTCACCTGAGCACTGTGGCTAGGAAAAAAGCAAAAATCAGTTCAGTATTGAAAAGCTTTAATGCATAAGTGGTCCCGACCTACCCCTAAAAAGGGGATGGGGGGTTATGATTTGAACAAAATTGAATCTACACTAACTTAAGATGCTTACATATTTCTTTGTCTATGACTTCTTTTCCTACAAGTTTGAACTTTCATTATGGTCCCACCCTACCCACGGGGGTCATGGTTTGAACAAATCTGAATCTACACTCTCTGAGGATGCTTCCATTATGACCAATCATAGCTTTGCTGTTCTTGAGAAGAGGATTTTTTAAAAAAATTTTCCTTTGTATTCCTATGCATAACTTTAATCATCAATTGTGGCCCCACCCCACCCTATCCCAAGGGGGTCATGATTTTTTTCAAACATGAATCTACACTACCTTAGTATACTTTCAAACAGTTAAAAACGGTTACCAATCATGGCTTTGCTGTTCTTGAGAAGATTTTTTCTATATATTCCTATGGAAAACCATTGTGGCCCCACCCTACCCTCAGGGGTCATGATTTGAACAAACTTGAATCGACTCCACCTGAGGATGCTTCCATATAAATATGACCAATCATGGCTTTGCTGTTCTTGAGAAGAAGATTTTAAAAAATTTTTCCTATATACTCCTATGTAAGACTTTGATCGTCCATTGTGGCCCCACCCTACCCCAGGGGGTAATGATTTGAACAAACTTGAATCTACACTACCTGAGGATGATTCTACATGAGTTTCATCTTTCCTGGCCCAGTAGTTCTTGAGAAGATGATTTTTAAAAGATGCCATTAATTTTTTCACTAATTTGTAATTATCTCCCCTTGACAGAGGGTGTGGCCCTTCATTTGAACAAACTTGAATCCCCTTTACCCAAAGATACTCTGTGCCAAGTTTGGTTGAAATTGGCCCAGTAGTTTTGGAGAAGATGAAATTGTGAAAAGTTTATGACAAGAACAACAACAAACGGACAAATTTCGATCAGAAAAGCTCACTTGAGGATTCGGCTCAGGTGAGCTAAAACGAGGAGAGTTCCTGACCCCTCTGGATTTGAGCAGTGAGGGATGTTTTTCATGCCAGCACCTACTCCGACAAAGGACCTCGGTTTATACGGTCTCATCCGAAGGACCGGTCTCCACGTCCCACAGTGGGATTCAAACCCGCGAGGTAAGGATCAACTCCTTACGCCGCAACTCTAGAGCAGACGCTCTAACCACTGTGCCACGCGGGCGACCACATGTAATCTGAGAGAGGAACGACTTAAAATTCATAGTTGACAAGAGGGAACTTCTGTGTGTGGTCTGTCAAGATCAAAGGTCAAAAGTCAATATTTTTACAATAAATCAAGCAGAAATCCTGGGCTGGTCTATCCATTTTTATCCTTTGATGTTACAATATTTAGTCCCATATCTGATAGACTAATTCAGAAAAATTTAAATCACTTTCAGAAAAGAAAATTAGAAATTATTCAAATCATCAACAGAAATGTATGTCAACATGTGCCACCCAACCAGCTTCTGAAAAACAAGGCCAATTTAATGATCCATAAAACCTTTCCTTGTTTCACAATATTTATTTGAATATTTACATGCTTCACATTTTGACTTCACATTACAACATGGGAATCCCTGTCTCTCCTCACATTACTATATTGTACATAGTCACTGGTCTCTCTTTGACTGACAGAAACAAACTTCTTCCATCACTTCCAATTTAACCAGATTATTAATTGCTTTTGTTGTCAGCTGTTGATTTTTATGTTCACATTCCCCGTTCCCCTTCATATGTCCTCTTTAAATCAATGTCCTCCCTAATTAGGTCACATAATTCCAGTTTCTGATGTTACAGTATTTGCCGAAGGAGTTAACTTCTCACAAACTGACTAAATTTCCAACAATCAATAAAACACTGTAACTTGTTCAGAATTGGTACTCATCCTAAACTAGTTCTCATTCTGAATTGGTTCTCATCATGAACTGGTACTCATTCTGAGCTGGTTCTCATCCTAAACTTTTGGACTTCACATGATGGACACTCGCACAGTTGAGGTGGTATTTAGCCATGTATGAAAATATATCGAAGCAAGAATGCACCGTTTTCCTCAACATGATCCATTTTCAGAGTTTTTAAGGCATTTTTAAGGAACTCTTAAGTCCTTTTCAATGATTTCTCAAGTCACTTTAAGGAGATTTCATGCCCCTTCTATAGTTGGCACACAAAGTCTTAAACTCTTTACTGAATTTCAAATATATTTCCAAAAAAATTCTCCAGACATTTGGTGAGAATTGTAAATTCTTTAACAGGAAACCTGAATCAATTTCAACAATACTTTCTTTTCCTTCTTCGATGCTTGTATTAAGAAAATCCACATTTTTTTATATTTCTTACTGCAATTTCAGTTCAAGAGGGTTCCTTAAGACAAAGTGATTAAGTGATAGACAGAAATTGTCTCAATTTCTTATTGAAATTCTTTAAACATTTCATGGAAGATAACATCACTGCAGTAATTTCTTCTTTACTATCTCATACACCATCCTTTTCCGGAAGTATGGCATGTGTTCCTGAAATTCATGAAATTGAAGTTAGTCAGATTTCTATTTTCACCCTTAGAAGATATTTTAAAAAAATTGCCAAAATATACTGCAAACCAAATTTTTTACTCATGGAAGAAATATTCCTGTGTTTTTCAACCTTCTTTCACTCAGGTCAAAAGTATTGCTCACTCTATCTATTTCATTGATGTGTAATTATACTTAGAATGGAAACTTGGTTCTTATTGAACTTTTACGAAAAGCACTGACTATTACAATCGATGTCTTACTTTTACACCAGGAAAATATATGGAAGCTCTTTCGCAGTATAAATATTTAGCTTAATGGTTAATAAAACGATAATAATCAGCCATTTCAAACCGATATTACGGTGTCTAGGATAGGAACGGCAACAATCCTACCGTTAACCCCCTCCCTTCCCCCCTTGACCAACTTCTGCCAAGTTTTCCTTTAAAGATTTTTTTCTATTCTTTATTTGATTCTTTCGGCAAATGAGAATAAAAGGAGATACTATCTCTCATGAATAAGGTACTTTAAGTAATGTTATTCTATCTCCAATTATTTCTTGTGTTGGTAAATAATGTAAGTACCCCTCTAATATAACCACTATTAGGTTTTCTTATTTATTAGCAATTCCATACCTCCATACATAACGCAGGTTTAAATGTCAAAGTAAGCCGTCAATCGTAAAAGTCAGTGCTTCTCGCAAAAGTCCATTGACAAGTAATTATTTAGAATGTAATTCTTGGTACTTATTGACATGTAATTACTAAGAATGTAATCTTGGTACTTATTTGATGTGTAATTACAGTCAAACCTCATGATCTCGAACTTGATGGAACGTAGAAAATACTTTGAGATATCCAAGGATTCGAGATATCCAGAGTAAAATACTTAGGAAATAAGTGCTTGGAACATCAAAATTACATTCACATATCCATAGTATTCGAGATATCAGTGTTCTGGATACCGAAGATCAACTGTACTTACAATGGAATCTGGGTCCTTATTAACATTTAATTACTATTACTACTTAGAATGGAACTTTGGTCCTAATCAAATTTATAGTTCAGGATAAATTTATAGTTAAGGATGGATTCCCAGCAAACCAATACCAAATAATAGTTGCCATGTATAACAGTATGTTTACAGTATTCAGTCTGCTATTATTTTTTTTTCACCAACATGCATGCCTTAGTACATGTACTAACCAATTTATCCAGTCAGTATGAAGTATACAACTGTTCCAATTACTTGCTCTTTTGGAGGCAAGCTTCTATACATGTGTATTTGTTTTTCTCATATATTAGCATGTACTGGTACTTGAATTTGTGGACAATAAGCAGACCAAAAGATGCTAAATTATGATTACCCCCTAAATTTATTATGTTTACAGTAAACATGGTAAACAAGTCAAAATAAGAAAATAAGTCATATTGACTTTAAAGAACACTTTCAAGTTTTCAGGAAAATGAAATGAGGATTTTGACTTTTAACCTGAGTGTACAATCTATCTGATATTGACCTGTGTGAAGTTAATGTCTGCCTCTCGTGTGATGTATTCGGCAAATTTACAGGTGAACATTCCACAATCACTCCCATTCATTTGCTGGGGGATGTCCTGAAATAGAAGATATATCTGAAGATATCAGCTTCAAAAACAAAATTTGAAATCATCAGTTCAACTAGGATGTCACCTGACATCATAACTTTGCTTAGAACATCATAATTATAATATCATCCTTACAAATACAACCTCATTTGATATATCACTCCAGACCCTGTAATCTTTAGAACATTTGTTCATAAACATCACATTATCGGACCTATGCTGTACAGAGGTTATTCAGTTTACTCTGAATTAACTAATAAGGAAGTAGTTAACAAGTTATTTAGACTTCATCTTACTGATAGGGACTTTCAAGTTAACATTGTAATAGGCAAGAATTTCCAATACACAATATTAAGATTAAACATGTTTTACTGTATTTGTAATCTTATGTGGACATCTATTTATTTTTATCATTCCTTTTAACATGAATGTGGTCAGTCTGTTATTTTGATAATTCAGAATTAAGACACATACAGTCTGTTATTTTGATAATTCAGAATTAAGACAAACATGGACAGTCTGTTATTTTGATAATTCAGAATTAACACAAACATGGACAGTCTGTTATTTGATAATTCAGAATTAACACAAACATGGACAGTCTGTTATTTTGATAATTCAGAATTAAGACACATACAGTCTGTTATTTTGATAATTCAGAATTAACACAAACATGGACAGTCTGTTATTTTGATAATTCAGAATTAACACAAACATGGACAGTCTGTTATTTTGATAATTCAGAATTAACACAAACATGGACAGTCTGTTATTTTGATAATTCAGAATTAACACACAAACATGGTCAGTCTGTTATTTTGATAATTCAGAATTAACACACAAACATGGTCAGTCTGTTATTTTGATAATTCAGAATTAACACAAACATGGACAGTCTGTTATTTTGATAATTCAGAATTAGTACAAACCTTTGTTATTTCTGTCTTCCATTCACTCAGATCAAACTTCTGTTTCTTTTTATCTAGACTCTCAGCACACAGGTACTCTCTGTCATAAACAAATACAAACTGTACAGTCATGATGGAAACAACTTATTCTAAAATAATTTACTAAAAAGGATGAGTTACAGAAGAAAATTAAGGACAGAAAACCCATATTTAATAGCTTACAAGAATTACATTTTTGTTTTGCAATACAGAGGAATAAAATATAAAAAGCAAGTTTAGTTTTTATATATCCAAGGATATTTTCTTTAGTTTTTGGGAGAAATGATTATTGAGAAAATTAACATATTTAATTGGGAAAAAAGGTCCCTTTTGGAATTGGGAATGGGGCCCTTGAATGGCCCTAATTATAGACAATCGAGAGCCCTGGAATCATACTTAATGGACGAGCCCAATCAACAGCAATGCTGTACTTTAGATTAGTCATGTTTATATCATCATGATAAAACAAATCTTTTTAAGTCAAACTGAATTTTTCTACTTCATTCTTGAAAATAAAGGTCTATAAATTTTTCTTTATATCTTCAGAGTGGGACACATAAACAACAAATTCGGACAAGAAACATTTCTTGGCAACTTGCCCAATGAACAAGTGGATATTTAATTAATGTTGAGGCCTGATATTAAAAAATATATATATAACGGTAGAAGAATAGTTCAAACAAATAATTAATAGTATAATCAAGTGTACACAACCATTTGTATATATTATACACTTCAGCAATTCATGCTTCCTTTGAATTTGAAATGACCATGATTTTATAATTTGTTAATATTCTTCTAACAACTTCTGTTGATTAATGTACATCTAAATGAGTTGTTAGTAAAAACTTGAGTTACTTAAATTTTAACTTGAGATGCAACTTAAATTTATACAAAAGATTAAAAACACAATTGTAGACTTTAAACAGGCCATGTTATTATTGTAGACTTACTTGAAAGCATTTAAACAGGTCGTGTTATTGTAGACTTACTTGAGAGCATTTAAACAGGCCCTGTTATTGTAGACTTACTTGAGAGCATTTAAACAGGCCATGTTATTGTACTTAATTGAGAGCATTTAAACAAGCCAGGTTATTGTAGACTTACTTGAGACCATTTAAACAGGCCAGGTTATTGTAGACTTACTTGACAGCATTTAAACAGGTCATGGTATTGTAGACTTACTTGAGACCATTTAAACAGGCCAGGTTAATGTAGACTTACTTGACAGCATTTAAACAGGCCATGTTATTGTACTTACTTGAGAGCATTTAAACAGGCCATGTTATTGTAGACTTACTTTAGAGCATTTAAACAGGCCAGGTTATTGTAGACTTACTTGACAGCATTTAAACAGGCCAGGTTATTGTAGACTTACTTGAGACCATTTAAACAGGCCAGGTTAATGTAGACTTACTTGACAGCATTTAAACAGGCCCTGTTATAATTGTAGACTTACTTGAGAGCATTTATACAGGCCAGGTTATTGTAGACTCACTTGAGAGCATTTAAACAGGCCATGTTATTGTAGACTTACTTGAGAGCATTTAAACAGGCCAGGTTATTGTAGACTTACTTGAGACCATTTAAACAGGCCAGGTTAATGTAGACTTACTTGACAGCATTTAAACAGGCCCTGTTATAATTGTAGACTTACTTGAGAGCATTTATACAGGCCAGGTTATTGTAGACTCACTTGAGAGCATTTAAACAGGCCATGTTATTGTAGACTTACTTGAGAGCGTTTAAACAGGCCAGGTTATTGTAGATTTACTTGAGAGCATTTAAACAGGCCAGGTTATTGTAACTTACTTGAGAGCATTTAAACAGGCCAGGTTATTGTAGACTTACTTGAGAGCATTTAAACAGGCCATATTATTGTAACTTGAGAGCATTTAAACAGGCCCTGTTATTGTAGACTTACTTGAGAACATTTAAACAGGCCCTGCTGACTTACTTGAGAACATTTAAACTGGCCATGTTATTGTAGACTTACTTGAGAGCATTTAAACAGGCCGTGTTATTGTAGACTTACTTGAGAGCATTTAAACAGGCCACGTTATTGCCGCCCATTGAGTCGAAGTATCGGATCATCTTCTTTTTGAAGTCAATTACCTGCAAAATGAATCGAAATCAAACTTAGAAATGAACAGTGCACAGAAATAATGGATATGTATGGTTCAAACTTAAACTCAAAGAAAAAAAGAAACACTTTTTTATAAATAAGCTTCTAAATCATGTAACATACAGTAAAACACACTTACAGGGAACAACCTTATAATGAATTGATGCTTATAGTGAAGGGATTTTCATTCCCCTTGACGTTAAAATATATTGAATACTTAATAGCTAAAACAAATTACGCTTATAACGTCAAAGCAAAATTGTCCATCCCTGGCACTTCGCTATAGGTGTGTTTTACTGTATCTGAAAGTTTTCATGAAGCATAAAGGACTATATTCTATAATGACCAGTCTGCCCCCCCCCCCCCCAAAAAAAAATTAAACTTTGATGGAGAAATCTATAATTATGTTCTGAACCAGGGGATATTTGCAGATTCAGAAGCATTAACTTTTTTCATCAGCCATGATGCCACATGTTAGATAAGATGTCAAGATAACATAAATTCGAAATTTCAATGATTTTGTCAAATGAGAGAAAAAGTTTATGTTGACATTTTTAATAAAAGTCATCAAGCGCAGGTCTGTCCCAGTTCGATCTTTTGATATAATATATAGAACTTTAATATCAATGAAATAGTGTGAATATTATTCTGGAGCAAGCATGTGCTCAGTAAATTCTAAACTCATAATGATCAAATTTTGTCTGTTTTGTCTTTTCTCTAGAAAAAAGTTTGTAAAATCAAAGAAACAAGACCTGCTGATAAGCAAATTCCAAACTATAATAATTTTTGTTAATTCAGATTTTTCTAAAAATACATAATTTTTTTCCACTTCTTTCAAATACTTTTATTTTTAAATCTTAACACATCTTCCTTTTATTCTCCTCCTGGTACAAGATTTATTAAATCTTTGTGACTCAAAATGTATTTCATTAGTTTACAATGTTTCATTTCAAAGTTTCAGTATACATGTAATTTACCAGATTTAACATTATACAACACTGTAATCACTTAAATCAATTTATTTTTCACAGAAGCCATCTACACAATCAGTTTCTATTTAAGGAATGAATTTTATAGCTACCTGCAAAGCGGTTTATAAAAAAGCATAAACTGTTCCATCCCAGTTTATACCGTAGAAATTGGGTAGCTATTAATTTCATTCCTTATAATTTAATTTTCATTCATTTAGTGTAAGTATATAAGGTATATAAGGTGACTGCCCTTAAAAATGATTTCATATTGTACAAAATTTAAATGTAATGTCAGGCGGATCAATACATTTTTGACGCAAGTCATTGTGACGTAGGCAACACAGTTTATATGATGTAAAGTTTTATCCAATCAAATGGTGCGTTACATCCAGAATTAAATTATAAATCACTAATTCACACTAGCTGTACTGATTTATTAATTTCCTGAAAAAACCTGATCTGGCACCACCACCACATTTCTGGCTTTACGATTTCCATCGACTGAAATGTATTCACTATTCAAGGAGAGAATGATATACACCAGCTTGCCAAGTCTGTAAAATAACCCAGATGAATTGTACTCACTGCTAAACACCAATGCATGCCAAGATGTACGGGGATTAAGATGTAATCCTTGGAGAAAATATCCACTCTTCTTGTCCACCGTCTCACCGAGTCGTGACCTTGACTCATGACCTTGGGATAGAAGAAGGTGTTGAACGCGTACACCTTGGGTTTTCCGTCCGCCTCCCCTCGCTCCACCAGCTGATTCATATAGAAGTTAATGATCTGTAAAAATTCATATAAAAGTGTATGATCTGTGGAAATTCAAATAAAACATAACGAATTGTAGAAATTCAAAAATTTATGATTTGTTGCACACAAACAGGTTTCATTCTAGACTGTAAGTTGAAAGTTTTATTTAAAAACACTGCTAAAAGTGTCATTACAATGACAAAAACAATAGGCCCATGGGTCAACTTGCCCTTACTGACAAACAAACTCTTTGATGTAGCTTTCAATACCAAATCCAGGACTTAAAACAGTTTTAACCAGCAGTATACTGTGGCTTCATGTCATACTTTGTGTTCAAAGAAGTGGATTTATTTTTCTGTAAACCATTTCTTCCATGTTGTGGCCCGAATTGATCTGTCAGGCCATAATTTGAAAAAATTCAAATCTCACTTCATGGAGATGATTACTCTTTGACATGACTTTGGCTTCTTTAAATTGAGCACAATCATTAACTAACTTTAAATGCTGATCGTTAGTTTTTCCTCTGTTAACGCATAATTTAATGTCATCATTTAGCCAGTTGTGAGGCCAGTGACTCCATGTCAAGTTGACTTATTTGTTTATAACCTTCCACCAGGACTCATAGATACCTCATCATTTAGCCAGTTAAGTCCTGCCAGTGACTCCATGTCACGTCGACGTATCTGTAATTTATATCCCTCCACCAGTACCTCGTCAGCTGGCTGAGATCTTAATGCGTTGTTAACAACCTGAAGCATCTCATCAGTAAGTTCTGAAAAATAAAAAAAAAAATCATGAATACTGTGAAAACAATGCTCTAAAATCAGAATTTCTCATATTCAAGATATATCTGCAAGACTTATTCTCAGCTACAAACTCTGAAACTCAATTTCATGAAACTTGAAAAATTTAAAAAATATTTGTATACAGCCATATAGGTAAACTTGTGGCTCCCTTTGCAAAATATTCCCAAGAGCTCTGTTTGGCATTGACAAAAAAAAATGCCTGCCTTCCTTGTTCAATTCTAAAAATTTTAACCTGAGAATCTTAACATTTATTTTTCCTGATCTAATATTAAATAATTCTTTTTTTCTTTTAGAAATGTATCAGTGTACCTGGGAACTGTTCTTCTTTCTCGGGTTCGACAGGTAAATCTTCGACTACGGCGGGCTCCGCGACATACAATCTTAGTCTCTGTCTCACCTCCCTCTCCAGTAAACGGTCCTTCTTTAAATGCTAAAATCAGAGAATCAAATACACTGTAAAATCACTAATGCTAGAATCAGAGAATCAAATACACTGTAAAATCACTAATGCTAGAATCAGAGAATCAAATACACTGTAAAATCACTAATGCTAGAATCAGAGAATCAAATACACTGTAAAATCACTAATGCTAGAATCAGAGAATCAAATACACTGTAAAATCACTAATGCTAGAATCAGAGAATCAAATAGTCTGTAAAATCACTGATTTTCTAGGAGTCTAATTTTCAAGGATTGAGTAAAAGATATTCATTTGAGGGGAATTAAAATATTAGTTTGAGGGAATTTAATTTTGGGGTTGAAGAAATAAAACATCATACTATTAATATAAAATTTTAGCATTTCATTTGGGACATAAACTCATGGGTCCCATCGCACCAAAAAAAAACAACAAAATTTAACCCCCATGAAAATTAGAAATTTCACAGTACTAAACTGCAAGAGACTTGTCCAGTTTTTCTCAAGTGAACTTTGCTTTAAAATCTGGACCCAAAATATAAAGAAACTGTCAAAACCTCTCTTCTTCAAAGGTAAATGTCTTTCCTTCTTTTATACAAAGAGTTTTCCCACTGCAAAAGCTAGAAATTGTTGTTCCAACAGGTTTCAAATTTTTTGTCTTTAATTTATGATTTGTTTTACCTTTTCTTCGTAAAATTTCTTTTTGATTTCTGCCTCTTCGATCTTCCTATGAGCCTCCCTATTAGCCCGAGAAAACTGTCGCTCCCTGAAAAAAAAAAAAATGATCTCTATAGGCTACAGAGACAAGTTCAAAAAGTTAACATACAAATAAAACATCCTTTCCTCTTACAGGTATTATATTGAAATCAAAGAGAAATTAAAAGCTCTTTTATCAATCTAATATTACCAGGCAACCACAAACTTACAGATCTAAGATCCACTCCTCTGACAGGTATTTATTGGAGATTAACACCAATGTTAACACAAACTTACAAAATCTATGATCCACTCCTCTGTCAGATAACATCAATATTTACATAGACTTACAGATCTACGATCCACTCCTCTGACAGGTATTTACTGGACTGGAAATCTGGACTGCTGGGCCGCCTCCACTGTTGCTGCTGCCTTTGTCTTGTAATTGGACTCCTGTTATTACAATAATTCCTTTATTATAATAATACATCATAAAATATAGTATGGTAACCTTTACATTATATAACAATGTCGTCGCCCGCGTGGCGCAGTGGTTAGAGCATCTGCTCTAGAGTCGCGAAGTAAGCAGTTGATCCTTACGTCGCGGGTTCGAATCCCACTGTGGGACGTGGAGACTGGTCCTTCGGATGAGACCGTATAAACCGAGGTCCTGTGTCGCAGTAGGTGCTGGCACGAAAAAGACCCCTCACTGCTCAATGGCCGTAAGTGCCGAGCATAGGACAAAATTTGCAGCTCTCCACCAGCAAGTGGTGGCGTCTCCATATGAGTGAAAAATTCTCGAGAAGGGACGTTAAACAACATACAATCAATCAATCAATATAACAATGTCTCTGTTAATTGGACTCCTGTTATTACAATAATTACTCTGTTACAATTATCCATTAGATGATGATTATTACATTCGATTACAAATATTGCATTTTTTTGTGATAATTTCGCGATAATTTTATAACAATCAATACATTCAATTCTATTACAGATATTGCATTTTATTACGATGTCTTTGTTTACTGCACTCCTTTTAATTACAATGATTACATTAAAAATGATCCCATTCATGATATTCTATTACACTGCACTTTATTACAATGCCATGGTCTGCTAATTGGACTTCTGTTAAAGAAGCACAATGATTACTGAGTGGTTATAATTTATTATAAGATTATAATAAAATTTTATTACAAATATTTCATTTTTATTACATGTAGTGTTATGGAAGAATTTCACAGAAATTCACCTCGTCACATTATTTGCTGCTTATGATGTATGAACATTCTGAACTAAACCAACTTGAAATCTAGAACTTTTAACTGGAACACCAAATAAAGTGGTAAGAATTGTGGTGCTGTATATAATTGTATAATAAGATTATAATATTATCTAGCATATTTCAGTTGAAATGGATAAGAAATGAAAATGGATAAGATCATTTTCAGATTAACTAGTACATGTACAGTTTAAGTGGAGAAATTGTTTAGATCATTATTAAATTATATAGTATATCACAGTATTTTCCCTAAGAACCAACTACTGGCCAAAGTGGCTGCTTCAATTGATAAAAATGCGGCTTTGAAATTTAAAAAAAAATCGAAATTTAATTGATGTAAGGTCAGAGATTTGTCATTGTAACCCAAACCTTGTTACAATGGATCTCTAACCCTTTTTCTTTGAAATAAAGGGAACACACTGATATCAGTTTAAGTGTAGAAATGGTTAAGATCAAAATGATATCAGATTAAATAGTATATAAGTTTAACAAGAGAACTGGTTAAGATCTCATTTTAAGTGAATTTAGTTATTGGTTACATTACCTTGAGAGATCTAAATGTGACCTTGAACTTTGTGGAGCACTGCCATTGACTGAAAACAAAACCAAAAGAAGCTCATTCATCAAAATAATATATCTTTCTTCAAGAAAAGAAAACATTATTAGAATTTACAGAATTTACAAAATACGTGCATTTCAGGGCATCATTTTTTTAAGATTTAAAAAAAAATTAATTATATTGCAAAAAAAATCCATTCAGAAAACCCCATACCAATAGGAGAGATGACCCTGGGTTCATCATCCGGAATACAAATTACATCCTCTTCATCTTCCAAACAAATGACATCCTCGCTACCAGACCGAGACAAGTCCCGCTGCTCCGGAGCCAGCGAACACCGCGGTGACACGGATACGGGCTGCCGGGCTGATCTCTGATGTTCATAGTCTATACTTCGGGGCGGCGTCGGAATACGTGTTTTCTGTGTGGGAACTACTTTCTGTCTGTGTACATCTGGCTGTCGAGGGATGGAGAATAGTTCTATAGAGGAGTTGCTGCCTGATACACTGCCTTCAGTCCTGGAGCTAAAAATAGACAGCCAATAAAAATAAACCATTTAGACAGTTGACCACTATGACAAGGCTTCAAAATTTCAAAATTATGCATAATTAAACAGATCATTTACTCTTAGTCCACAAAAGATTTATGTCCTATCAACAGAAACCTCTCATAATGAAGAACTTCAAAATTTATTGTAAGCATCCAATTTGGATAACTTGAGCATGGAAGGCCTGTTAAAAAACATCTTGATATCCGAGTGGTAAAGATATTGAAAATGAAACTCTGGCTAATGATAACATCAACACTATTGACTCACTTCACCAAATCTTTGATTTTCAGCAAATCAATTCTTGAGAAATAATTTTTAAAATTAAATTCTGTTTAAAAACAAATTTGATTCCATTATTAATTTTTAATAATTAATTTTATGGGCAGCATGGCACATAATTCCACTGGTCATGAAAATATTTGTTGACAAGAGTCCTTAAGGTTATTATCTTAATTGAACACAATAGAAAAAAATACCCATAATGCATCAGTTGCGATGCCGCACTCAGCCCGTCTGGGGAGTGGGATGCTTTCTCTAGAGGGAGCTTGGTAAACTGCTGTAACAACTGCTGGTATTTCTTCTTCTCATCCAGTCGTACACACTACAGAAAAAATCAAAGGATTGACAGTACTGAGACAGTTGTTCACACTTCAGAAAAAATCAAAGGATTGAGAGTACTGAGAAAGTCATACACACTACAAAAAAAAAAAAATCAAAGGACTGAGAGTACTGAGACAGTCATACACACTACAGAAAAAATAAAAGGATTGAGAGTACTGAGACAGTGGTACACACTACAGAAAAAAAATCAAAGGATTGAGAGTACTGAGACAGTCATTCAAACCACAGAGAAGAAAAATTAAAGGATTAAAAGTACTGACAAAGTCTAAAAAATAAAAAAAAACATTAAAGGATTAAAAGTACTGAGGCAGTCATACACTAAGGCTTGGGACAACACTAAGGCTTGGGACAATATATATCAATTTTGTGTGAGGACGATACACAAATCGATAGGTATGCATAAATATCAAAAAAAATTCTGGATTATTTTTTTCTTCGTTTACTTAACATTTTGGTTTTCATCAGTGTTCATGCATAAAATAAATATGCTACCTGTAAATACAGCTTACTCCACTTATATTAAAATCACTTATTTTGAAATTAAGCTTATTTTGAAATAAAAATAAATTCCCAGTTTTAGCCTCTCATTTTCTTTGCATTAAAATAACTGTTATAATAAAATCGGCTATTTTAAAATATCACTTATATTGAAGCCACTGATCGGTCTCTAGAGGTGATAATGAGTTGTTTTCATAACGGTTATATTGAAGTTATCCCTGGCGGCTGTCATTACGGTTGGTAACAGTAATTATGCCTGACTGACCGGTTGATATAAAAACGTGTGAATTGATAATTTCTCACCTTATGTGTTTATATACTGCTTTTACAAAATTAAATGCATTCACTGTTGAATTCTTTGTTTTCACATATACGGACGTATCGAGGCTATAAGTAATATGGGAAACCCACAGAAAAGAATTACCTTAACTTTGGACAATAAATATGAACTAGTTATGGCTATTGATAAGACAAAGCCTAAATCCAAAATAGCTAAGGATTTTGGGATTAACCCGAGTACACTTACGATGATATACAAGCAGCGTTCTGAAATTGAAGCGGTTGAGTTCGGTGATTTTTACCAAAAACGTAAAAGAATGCAACTATTGGGGAATTATAATGAGGTTGAAGATTGTCTTCAAATGGTTCACAAATGCAAGATCCTCAAACATAGCCATTTACAACAAAATTCTTGCTGAGAAATCTGAATAGACTGTAATAGATAAACCATGACCAAATTAATTTGTTCGGCTTTGTTCTTTATTTTAGATTGGGATTGAACTTTTAAAAATGGCAGCTTCACATCAGTCAATTTCGCTTGTATTGAATGAAATAATTTGCATGGTCCCCTGAATTTCAATATATCCGGAGGAGGCTGTATTAAGTATTATGATATATAAATATCACACAGTGCCTAAAACCTGACAGTAAAGTAAGCAAAAGGCCCATGGGCCACAGTGCTCACCTGTGTCACAATAGCTCTACTGCTCTTCATCAGTAGATCTTCCCCCCTACATATTCCTATGTAAAACTTTGATCTCCAAAAGTGGCCCCACCCTACTTCCAGGGTCATGATTTGAACAAACCCATACACTACCTACCTGTGGATGCTTTCATATCAATATGACTAATCATGGCTTTGCTGCTCTTGAGAAGGAGATTTTTAAAGATTTTTTCCCATACATTCCTATTTAAAACTTGATCAGACTATCTTTCAAAAATAGTCTGTTCGCCATCTCCCAACCGATTAAAATTGGCTTGACAGATTAACTTTTTTAAACCTCTGGGAAATTGTAATTTTTTTAGTTCATTCCGGAATTTTCTATGCAGTCAACAACTATTTCAATTTTATTAAACCTTCAATTTCAATAACTTTACAAAATTCAGCATTGGTGTTAAAATTCTGGAAGAAAATTTCCTCTGCCTGTCTACCTATCAAATGTTTTTAATATGTTTTTCTTATTAATTGTTAGGCCATTATTTATACACTGAACTGTCTATGGATTTCCCTGTTATTACCCGATCATGACAAGGAGCACACGGTGGGTGTGACATGTCGGTAGGGGATGCTCACTCCTCCATGGCACCTGATCCCACCTCTAAATTTTGAGGTCTGTGTTTGCTCTGCTTCAGATTTGTATCGTTTCATTGGACTTCCGAGATTGAATACTGTTCGTTATCTTCATATTTCATATTGAGTCGGAAGAGGGCAAAAATTCATTTTTTTTTAAAACAGCCTCACCCTGTGGATAATTAGAGCCCTGTTTAACTGTCATTACATCAAGAGCTATAATCCTGTTTTGCTGTAATTACTTAAAGGGCTGTAAACTTATAACCCTGTTTAACTGTAATTGCACGCAGAGCTGTAAATTAATACCTCTAAAGCTGTAAATTTCTGTCGGGGTGGACGGGTGAACAGTGATCTGTCTTTGTGGTGTTTTGGTTGTACAGTGTCAAAATCTCTTATCCTCTGCCAAATATCTAAATATAGAACATAAAATTCAAACTTACAATAAAGCCATAAGCCTGACTGAATAAGGAATTCTTTGCTTTAGTTGATCAGTACAATTTGCATTATGTTATAAATTCATTTTTTTTCAATGAATTTTCAATAATAGAAAAATAATAAAAAAATCTGTTTTATGTACAAATTTTGATTTTTCCATAATTGTGAGGATTTAATTTAAAACTATCTTTGTTACAACCTCTTCTTTGTTTCAAGTCTGATCACATGATTCAAGTGTGTAATCCCCTTCTAGGATTGTGTCAACTAAGATGTTCTCATATTGTGGATTAAAGATTCACTTGAATGATCTGATCATTGTGATGGATCTATAAGGTGTTGGAGAGAGGGTTGAACTATGTGGTGGATCTATAAGGGGCGGGTTGTACTATGTGGTGGATCTATAAGGGGTGGGTTGACTGACCTGAGTGATCTGTTCTATGTGGTGGATCTATAAGGTGTGGGATG